AAGTCCCCGGCCGGAAGTCCCCGGAGTTGGGGACTGGCTTCTACTGAAGCCTTCCGAGTAACGGAGCTTACACACGGCGGCGTGCGTTGAAGCTTGCCGGCGGGCGTGTCTGACGCTCGACCAACAATCAATCACATGAATCTCCCGTCCTGGACACACAAGCACGCGTTTTGATTGGCTAGAGCTTGTACTGGCATATGATTTGATTGGCTGACGCTTCCGTCGAAGCTTCAAAAGTAGAACATTGCTCTACTTTTGAAGCGAGCAACGCAAGCTCGCTTTTGAAGCGAGCTACGCTTTGCTCCCACAATGCAGTTCGGCGAAGCGTGACGTCACCCCATTCAAAGTGAATGGGCAGAAGCGTTGAAGCTTCAACACACGCCGCCGTGTGTAAGCTCCGTAAATCGCCAGAACGCCGACACCTCCTCATCACACCACCGCTCCCACGTTTTTTTTTGTGTTGCCATTAGTTAGTCTCTCTCCGTTGGTGCGCGAAGCTAATGCTAATGCTAATAATGCTAATGCTAATAATGGTAATGCCAGCAAATACAATGGCGGCTTCACAAAACTTTTCAGAGTTTTACGGGGCGTGGTTTGCAATTCGCCCAGCCAATCAGAAATTGGAACTTTTTTCTCCCCAGGAAAGTATCACCTCTCTAGCAGGGAATAAAAAGGGGGTAAAAGTTCTCATGAACTAAGTTCTCTTTTTGGTGTGAACGCAAAATCCCAGGAACTATCGGAACTAAAAGGGAAAAGTACGGGGAAAAGTACTCCGGTGTGAAAGCGCCTAATCACTGTGAAACTTCTGATATTCAAATACTCTGAATTACTGACAAAGTATTGCAGTTAAAACAGATATAATGGAAATATATTTTATACCCAGAACTTGTATCAAAGAAATACAAGAGTTGTGTGTACAATTTTTAAATCCTTTGCTTTGGTATCATCTAGTGGCGATGTGAGGAATAACACTGAGGCATTTGGACACTTTTTTTAAGCAGAACTAAGACAATGAGAACAACTTAAAAGATGGAATAATCACATAAAAAATAAACACTTAGTAGTTTTTTTTATCACTGATTGAAACAAGATTCACAATATTCAAGTTTATTAAGTGCTTCAAGTTTAATTCAGCTTCTTTAATTATTTTGATATACTAGACTGACTAGTTTCCCCTTCCTTGTTAGTGAACATTACAGCTAGAATAATGACATTTTCAGGATTGATTCTAAATAATGGTTTGCGCTTGCTATAAGTGAGAAGAACTTATGACACCTTTCATTTACTAAAGGGGGCGATAAGACAATATTATATTCCTTTTTTTCTCCCACAGGGAGTGGTGGAGTTCTCTCTCTGCCTGCTGTTCGCTAAGCTGGTCAGCTACACCTTCCTGTACTGGCTGCCTCTCTACATCTCAAATGTTGGTATGTATTAGTACACAGTCTTTATTTTTATGTTTTTCTAATTTAAGATACTATCATTCATGTCATATGGTTTAACCTACATCATTTCAAGTCATTTAATCATTTTTAATGTGAGATTTTTTTTTCATCTTCAGCACATTTTGACGCAAAAGAGGCCGGCGACATGTCAACGTTGTTCGATGTTGGAGGAATCGTTGGTAAGCTTTGAGTCTCAACTGGTTGATCATGTGACTTTATCCAACGTGTTTATGAGGGAAGAAATAGAGGGGAAAAATTAAGAAGATTTAAATTATTTGTTTGCTTCCACAATCTTCAGCTTGTCATTGCAAGGAAAACATCCAGTCTGCTAATCAATATCTCTAAAAACATGAATAGATCAAAGCAGGAGCTCTGATCATATTGTTGCTGTTATCATTACAAGAGGAAATCTCTAATGAACCTAAGGTCTATCTATCTGCTTCAAGTTTAAAATGCTTTGTTATTTTAAAATGGTGTGTGGTGTGTGTGTGTGTGTGTGTGGTGTGGTGTGTGTGGTGTGTGTGGTGTGGTGTGTGTGTGTGTGTGTGTGTGGTGGTGTGTGTGTGTGTGTGTGTGTGTGTGTGTGTGTGTGTGTGTGTGTGTGTGTGTGTGTGTGTGTGTGTGTGTGTGTGTGTGTGTGTGTGTGTGTGTGTGTGTGTGTGTGTGGTGTGTGTTGGTGTGGTGTGTGTGCACAGGAGGCATCACGGCCGGCCTGGTGTCGGACTACACGGGAGGGAGAGCGACGACCTGCTGCTTCATGTTGATCGCTGCAGCACCAATGGTGAGTATCATCTAAGAAATCTCATTATTTTACAACTGCACAGTTTGATGACACATTTGAAAGTTCACTTTTTTTAACCAGTGGCTCTGTGGACTGATCAAAGTTAGTAATCCCCTGCCACAAAAGCTGACAAATCACAGTTTAAACCTCGTCAATGTGAGTGGACTGCAGACGGCTAAAAGAAAAACAGACAATTAGAGCACCAGTGTGGTTTCATAATGATGGAGTCACTTTTTACCTCTGTCAGAATAGCTATTATTTAAGGAAAGAAAGACAAAAACATCACTAGCCGCTGATTCCAAATGTTTTAACGATTGCAAAGATGCTGAAATAAGAAGTCTCTTTATCTGTGTTATTGTGTGTTATTTGCAATATTCATGCTGATGTTTTTTTTCTTCATGTTTCAGCTTTTCCTCTATAATTACATCGGGCAAAGGAGCATTGGTGCTACAGTCGGTAAGAGCACTATAAATAATTATAGTGTTGTCTCTCTGTAAGGTTTTATTTTTTCCCGCAATAATTAACCAAGAAAATTTATGAGATTTTAGCAAAAATACTTTCTAAGATTTATGCTTTCCTCTGAACTGAAAGCACGGTTATTTTTGTTTTAAAAGCACAAAATGAGTTGACTTTGAAACTGAATTTATTTATCTACAATGTCGAAAAACACATTGATTTTTTTTTATTGAAAGGAAGTGGTTTTAGAAACAGTGTTTTTTCTCCATGTGAAGGTATGCTGCTGCTGTGTGGAGGCCTGGTGAACGGGCCGTACGCTCTCATCACTACGGCTGTGTCTGCTGACCTGGTAAGACCTGATGCAGAATCACAATCTGTTGCTTTACCAAGTAGGTTTACACATACGAGGAATTTGCTTTGGTATATGTATATAAAGAAGAATACGTAGCAACAAAAATACAATAAAAACAGACTATTTCAAAAAACGTTTAAAGCTATTTTAACAAACTCTTTTAAGACTATTTTAAAAATATTTACAAATGACAAATACTGTATATCAAATCTTTAAATTTAAATCTGATAGTGGGAATCCCCTAGTCTCTGCCTTATATAGATTAGACATTCAAACCATACTCGCTACTTAAAGTCTTTACAGTGGTGGAATGTAACGAAGCACTTTTAATCAGGCACTTCTTCAGGTTTTCATTTTGAAGTATTTCCATTTTATGCGTTTTGGTATATTGTGATTATAATGCTTTTCTATTTTGTGTCTTTGTGTAACTAGGGAACACATGAGAGTCTGAGAGGAAACTCCAGAGCGTTGTCAACAGTAACGGCCATTATTGACGGGACTGGTTCAGTAGGTACGTACGGAGGTCGAGGCTTCAGATCTGCTCAAGCCTGTAGTTTATTATTCCTGCTGACGAACAACCAGACTGAACCAAAAACAAAACCTCTTGTATTATTCCATATTAAGATATTATATTTTATTTCAGGTGTTACATTTTCCTCTCTTCCCTTTGTATTGAATATTAGATTAGCACTTTATAATGCTTTCTAGGTAATGCTTCTAAAAAGTCTAAAAGTATGAAACTTCTTAATGTGAAATGGTGATTGATGTAAATACTTCAGAGACAGAAATGTAAAAAAATGCACAGTTTAATGATAAAAGATTATTAAAAGTAGTGTGTGTGTGTGTTCTCCAGGCGCTGCGGTGGGTCCTCTGTTAGCAGGTCTGATCTCCCCCACCGGCTGGAACAACGTCTTCTACATGCTCATCTCTGCAGACCTCCTCGCCTGCCTGGTCAGAAACACTCCTTCATTCCCTGAGCTCTTTAAGATCTATTTGTCATTACTGCTTATCCAGTCCAGTAGCAACACCCGGACTGACCCATTGTTTGTTTGTTTGTTTGTCTTTAGTTTTTGACCAGGCTTGTTTACAAAGAAGCTCAGGGTTGGTGTCGACGAAGCCCATGAGCCAGAGGGTGAGTACTGATAGCATTTTACTTAAACATATTATATTTTTTAAACAAACAAAACAAAATAGTCAGGAGGCGTTATACTTAGCTTGAAGACTGGAAGCAGCCTGGCTCTGTCCAAATGGAATAAATCTACCAGCACGTTACTTAAACCTACTAACATATTATATCTTGTTTGTTGTAGGATAGTATTAAATAGAAAAGCAGAAATGTGAAAGCTATAATTTGTTTGTTTTTTCATTAGTATGTGCTCATCAATTGTAATATGATTAATTTGAGCTCTTTAGATATGCTAGTGTGTAGATTCGTATAACTGGAAAAAAGCCAGACCCTTATCTCCTGTTTCCAGTCTTTGAGCTAAGCTAATAAACTGTTTCAAATCTTTCCTCAGGTTTATTTCCTAATATGTCATACTTCAGATTCAAAGCAATCTGAAACATGATCAATCTGCGGACCGAAAGAAGAAATCAGGGAAAAATGCAGAAACTGACCTCAGGATACTTTGGGACAACCCTTTTCCGTGGAAACCAGCGGAGCCACCAGCAGAAGATTCACGGCACTAAACGAACAATTGAAGCCTTCGTCTTATTTTGAAGCAGAGAACTAAATGTCTTTATGGAGACAAAGCTTTTTTATGACTAATCTACTATTTTTTGCTTGTTTGTTTTAATAATCTTTTATCATTAAACTGTGCATTTTTTTTACATTTCTGTCTCTGAAGTTTTTACATCAATCACCATTTCACATTATACAGTATTCTGTCATTAAATGAAGAACTTTCGGTCCCGAGGAACATCTCTGTACGTAAAACCAAGTCCACAGAAAACAACAATCACATCAACATATAAGTAATGTTATTTATTCACTGTCTGAAAAGGAGCTTTGGATTGTCTAGCAAGGTTTTACATCCAAAGTTTAACTTCACTAAACTCTGACCTCTGAATACAGACAGACTTCAGGAGGTGCTTTCAGGTAGAAACAATTAGATTGACCAATTAAAAAGAAAAGCCAAACCCTGATTCTTTCCTCATTTTAATTACAGAAAACAAAGGTTAATATGGGTCTAGGGGTAAAAAGTAAAAAAGGCTCAGAGGATCACACAGCTCTTTTTAAACCTTCAGCAAAGAAAACTCCACTTTAGTTAAAACGAAATAGAGCCATAGACATGGGACGGACTACCACAGAGTTGGTCTTGGTTTCCTTGTGGGATTTAATAACAAAAGAACTAAAGCTAACCTGCTTCCTCGGTGAAAAGCAAGGCGAAAAATACAAATGTTTTGATTTATCACATGTGAAATAAGAACAACAATCAATCACATGTGAAATAACCAAAGCAGTTCTGACTTTATTCTGGTTTATTACAGCTGGTCTTATTTTTTTTGAAGTTTTCACCAAGATAATTACTTAGCTCTGGGAACGAAATGTGCTAAAAAGTAGTCCGGCAGGGAACATAAAATGAGCAGATGATCATGTTGTTATAAACAAACATCAATGAGAGTCTTTTTGGAGTGCAAAGAATCATTAATAATGAACAGAACTGCTTTTGATGGATCTTGTAGAAATATAATTGACCCACATTCATAAAAAAACAATTCCTAGACAGGAAGGTAAACTGGCTGTCTCTGTTATCACAAATGATAGAAATGATGGCTAAAACAGCAATAATTAGACCCAAGTTGCAATAAAACACCTTTAAATAACCGATAACTAAATGTAAAAGCTGCTCTGTACATTGAAATAAGGTTAAATAAGGCATTTTGCTCCAGTCATGATGAACGCCTTTATTTTGACTGCGTATTTATTCAGACGGGCGAGCAGTAAATGGTATTGAATCAAACTCACTAATACAATATTCACTAAAATAAAAACATATAATAAACAGCGACAACTGTAGACAGCAAAAATATGGCAGAAAAAGCAACAGTTTAGCACACAAACATCAAACAAAGTATTTGAGTTGTACAGGTTTGCAGATGAGAATCCTCACTAGTGTTTCAGATACCTTGCAGGCCGTTCTGTGTGTTCGCCCCCTTTGCAGCGGATCTACACCGAGTCAATGAACACAGATCAAACAGCTTGAGGCTGTCCTAACAGCAGTTGGTGTGGTGTGTTTGCAGTCCTCTGCTGTTCTTTCTTATGGGGTTTAGCCTTAAGCTGTGTAACCCTGTTCATAACGAGCGTTATTACTCCTTCACAAATCTTCATTGTACATCCTTCTCAAAACAAAAGCTTCATGTGGTACAGTTCATGTTTCTCAGTGATGATACGCTGCAGGGTTCCACGTCCGATACCAAGACCTGAGAGGACAAAGGGAGGATCACAAGATTGTACAGTAAAGTAAAGTAAATGTTCCCAAGTGCAAATTTGAGATACTTGAACTTTAGTATCAAGTTTATGCTACCTTATTTCTAATCCACTACATTTTATCGCCTTCCTGTTAGGGCCGCTCGATTATGGCAAAAATCATAATCTCGATTATTTGGGTCAATAATTGATATCACGATAATTAAAAACGATTATCCATTTACTTTGAAAACATCCATTTATTGCAAAAAAATTGTTGAACAGTATGTTTTTAACAGTTGATTACCCTGAACTTTAAGTATAATTCAACTGAAAAACCAATAAAAAAAAAGTAAAATATAAAAATAATCGTTTTATTTTGATTATGTTGTTTTCATAATCGTTGCAAGCCAAAATCGTAATTGCGATTAAAATACGATTAATTGAGCAGCCCTACTTCCTGTGAAAACTCTGGATTTGTTGATTTTGAATGTTTCTGATTAAGGATGAAGTGCCCTTCATGATGAAGACTATTCCTACTTCTTATGTTAAATTAACATTTTATAAAGCTTCTTGTATCAGCCTGAAAATGCATCTTCAAAAAACAAGTAAGATTTTGAATGCAGGATTTGAACTTGTTGTGGAGTATTCAGTAGCCTACTTTACATTTGACTAGCAAAGGATCTTACATTCATTCAGCAATTCATTTTAGGAAATAGTCAAATGCTTTTGCTTATTGGGTTTCTTGCTGCTATGAATCCACACACTGTTGTATTCATTTACCCTTTATTTTTTATAGAGATTAAATGTACAAGATATAACGTGTTAAACAGTTATATTTAGAGATGCTGGTAGGTACATTTCGTTAGCTTTGGCTAGCTGTTTCCACCAGTTGCAGTCTTTATGCTAAGCTAAGCTAACATTCTTTTGGCGGTAGCTTCATAAATTAGCAGTTTAGCTTAGCACAAACACAAAAACAAAGGGAACCTGCTTGGCTTATTTGGCCCAATGCTTACAAAACCTGCCAACCAGCACATGTAAGTATTCTTTGCGGGACAGCTGAAAGTGTGTGTTCTTCTATATTGAAAGTGTTTTAAAGAACAGATATCATTGCAGGTTTTTATTTTTAGTAAACGTTCTCACCCTGGTGCGCTGTAGGACGGGTTAACCTGAGAGGTCAGAGAGACGGAGGAGGAGGACAGGCCGTTGGGAGAAGCTTCACGGCTCCCACTGTTTGGAGAGGAATTTGATGAAACTGGAAGGAAAAGGTAAACACATTATTATAAAATGTTAAGCACACACATGCAGAAACCCACCAATATGTGTTGTTTTGCTAACTGTGCAAATGAGACCCTTGATAGGGAAAAAGAGATAACACATGTTATTTCCAAGGTCAACAATTAACTTTCACACAGGGGAACAATATGTAAGAACATAAACCACCAGTGTCAGTCAAAAATATAGAGAAATATGATCAGGTCTCACGGCATTTCGTGTTATAGTCACGAAATTAATTTAATCTATTGATTCGTGTTCACCAACACACGATTTTCGTGTCACACAGAACGATTTTAAAAGCAATGTATTTCTATTGGTAGTATGTTTCGTGCCTGCACCACGTCTTTTTTTCTTCCGGTCGGGTCTTGGAAGACCAGAAGCTGTGTGGTTCATAAAAACATTGTCTTGCTCAATATCTTACCCTAAGCCTAACCCTAACCCTTTTATTTTAAATTGTATAATGTAATAATAGTGTTTTTTGCCGTCGCGAGGAAAATAAATGGCTCAGAGCCTCAGAATACTGACATCTGTATTTCTTGTCATCTTTTTTTCCTTCTAATTTGTTATTATTTGGTGCAGGCGCGAAACATACTACCAATAGAAATACATTGCTTCTAAAATCGTTCTGTGTCAGAATACTGAAATCTGTATTTTTTAAAATCTGTTTTTCCTTCTAATTTGTTATTATTTACATTGCTTTTAAAATCATTCTGTGTGACACGAATCAATAGATTAATTTCGTGACTATAACACGAAATGCCGTAAGACTGTGTTGCACAATAGGAAGGCAATGCAAGGCAAGTTTATTTGTACCTTTCAACACAAAGCAATTCAAAGTGCTTTCTAAAAGGAGGCACATAAGAGGCTCTTTATCAATATTTGAATGTAGAACACTTGTACTTGCCTCCGCCTGAAGCCAGAGGACTGTATGGTCTGGATCCTGCAGCCTGAAACAGTGAACAACTTTTCTTTTGATTTCTGTCCAATATATTTGCTTTTTTAAACCTATTCAACAGAATATACAAATCTATAATACCATAACCATTTAAAAGGAGCCATTCTGCATTATGAAGACTTTGACTTTTGATACATGAAGTACATTTCGCTCATAATACATCCGTACTCAACATTTTAAAGCAGTATCCTAATCTACCCAGTATATAAAGATGCAACAATTGGCTCCATGTTGACAAACTACAACACTAGAACATACTTGCATTTAGGTGTTAGTGATAAAAATAGAATACCATAACAATGTAAAATAATATTACACTGTCAAAAGGACCGTTCCACTTATGAATTCAGTGTGTTTTCCACCACATGGGAATACTATTTCCCATTTTTATATAAAAGAGATGGATGTTTTAGACGGCTAACCATTCTGGAGTTGTAGCTGTGATTCTTGACGGATAAACTGGTCACGGGGCAATAGATCCTCTTCTCCTTCTGACGCCGATTACAAAACCAAACTCGAACCACCTCCTTCTCCATGGACAGCTGCTCCGAGATCAGAGTTATCTCCTCTGAGTTTGGCTTAGGGTTCTGAAAATAAATGAAAAAGTTAATTATTCCCTCTTTTAGATTAAGCCTGTACGTTTTTAAGGTAATCCATTCCTTGTCCTCTGCACAATGACAATACAGTTGAATCTAATCAAAGTCAAAGTCAACTTTATTGTCAATCTTTCAGTTTGTGTGTACAGACAGAGAGATCGAAATACCGTTTTCCACAATCCCGAATACAAAAATAAAAATATTTATAAAAATATGTGTATCCTATAAATACACAATCAACAGAAACATGTGCACACATTAAGATAAAAGCACAACATGTGTAATCTAATCGACAGAACAGTTTAAAATGGTAAACAACTTTTATTTTCCTAACCAACAAACGATATGACTTAGAAAGCCCTCACTATTGAGAATTTGTTAAACTCTGATTCAGTCGTGAACTTACGTCACGGAAACGTTTCTCCAGAGTCATCTTGATGTTTGTTTCAATGCTTGTCCTTTTTTTCCGTTTGCGTCCGTAGCCCTCGATCAGGGGCGGCAGAGAAGTGCTACTCATCGAGTCAGAAGGGGAGTTCTCTGATGTGAAAAGATCAATATATAACATAGACATTCATCGTCAACTTTGAACAACAATGCATGTCACAGTTGTATTTGTGATACAGAACTAGTATTAAAGTATTAATGACATTTCTTAACAGGCTTTTCACTCCAAATTATAGGCCAAGTTGTTTTTCGGCGTTACATTTTTCTTATATCGACAATTTCATTGAGTTTTACGTTTGCTATACTTTTTTTCTAGCCCCTTCTCAAATCAAGCCAGAATAATGACTGGTACCTTAATAAAGAAATGGTGGTCAGTGTGTTGTACCTGCATCACTCAGCCATTTCTCCAGCAGAGGTTTGAGCTTGCACATGTTCTTGAAGCTGAGGTTGAGAGCCTCGAAGCGAGAGATTGTGGTCTGACTGAAATCATTCCCGTACAGTTTTCCCATTGCAAGGCCCACATCTCCCTGTGAAAACACACACAAATGAAGTACATTTATCAACACTTTTCTCAGTTTTGAAGGTCTTTGTTCACCATGGAGTTAGGCAAGAACAATAATGTTGAAGTATTTTTTTTAAGAGGCAACACGTGGTTTTTCCACTTGCAGTACTGACCTGTGTGAATCCCAGTTTGATGCGTCTTTGTTTGAATGCCTTAGCAAACAGCTCCAGCTCTTCCAGGTCGGAGGGTTCCTCCTGGGGGGGCACGGACATGTGTTTGGGCATCTGCAGGTGGGACATGTCCATGTGGTTCTCCATGGACGGCCCAGCCAGACCAGAGCGGCTCATTGCCTGGATCAGAGGGACATCACAGAAAAATGTGACACAAATTAGGGTTAACTGTCTTGTGGAAACATCTTCGTATCTGAAATACTTAACATTTACTTGGTCAGATGTTTGGATTGCTCTGCTGTTATCTTTCTTACTATTTATACAATTGTACTTTAAACCTGAACTAACACATTCTGGCCACTAGATGGCAGCAGCAACTAGCTCAACATATAACTGACAGCACATCCAGCAGTAACAGAGCTAGAGAGATCATTCCATTTTATTCTTTTAGCTCTGTTTTTGGTCTCCACCAACTCCTGAGGTGCATATGTCTCTGTAGCTGCTAATGCTAGATTATGTTCAACATCTAGTCTCTGACTGTGTCTGATTTCTGCTGAGCAGTTATTGTACAGTAGGTTTTTAGGATTGTTTTTGCAGCTGCATCCATAGTGGATGAGAGTGAAGCAAAACAGTTGAGTTGTGTGATACTGGTGCCGAGTGTGCCGACAGGAAGTAGTAAGGATGTACCTGTGGAGTCAGAGCCAGTCCAGGCTGATGCTGGAGGAGATTTGTTTGACTCAGCAGGTTCTGCTGCAGAAGTGCTGCGAAGAAAAACAAGTTTTGATCAATTATTTGGTTTGTGAGTGCAATGCTCTTGGAAGCTGTTGATGTTTGTCAAGAAATAGATCCAATATCTTCCACCAAAAGCACAATGTGTTTTTTTTTTACTTTGGACATAGGCAGACGTGTTGGGCGAATGGATATACTGTTGTCCGTCAATAGGGAATCCCCCTAAAATCACAAATCCTATTACTTTATTAGCTGTAAAGCAGACTTTATAAAACATTTATGCACAGACCCTGCTTTCACCCTAGATCATATGCTAGGCTAACAATGTCCTTACTTCAGCTCTGTATTTAAAATCCAGACATATGATCCCAGTGTTATGTAAACTCTTGGAAAGAAAGAAAATAACTTTTGTAATAGTTTGCACTTATCCTAGAACACAGCTTATCTGCTAAAATGTCAATGTGTTATTTGTATACCTTGGTTATTATACAGGTTAAACAGACAATGAGTGATACTAAGTAAGATGAGGGTAGCTGGTAGATTGTGTTCCCTTTGGACAGAATCAGACTAGCTGATTTACACAGTTTCCAGTCTTAATAAATGACCGGCTGCTGTCAGTACATTTGTATTTATATTTATCATACAAACATGAGAGTAGATCTTCTCAAAAGAGTCTCTGCAAGAAGTCTGATTAAGAACATTTCCACACATGTTAGTCCCTCAAATGGCATCTCTCAAATGATTTTTTAAACTATAATTGAGGCTTAAATCCCTTAAAACAACTTAAAAAGCTGCACCTTGGTGGCTGGTGGGGCTCTGGGAGAGCAGGAAGGGGGAGGGGGCGGTCAGGTGAGACGGAGGCATCAGGACCAGCTGCTGCATGCTGTGGAGAGACGTGAGCTCCTGGAGGAGAGAGAAAAAAACAAACAATAACAATATCAGTCCTGACTCACTGATGAATAAAGACTAACGGCTACATCCACAGTGTCTGTTTCATATGCATATGTTCAGTGTTGAGTTAGCAGTGAATGTTCTGCATTTAGGAACTTACAGCACTTTAACGCCACGGTTTTATTAATAAGCAGGTTGTAATTTGTGGCTTCAATTTATTCAAAACCTACATTTGTGTGCATGTAGTAGCCAGACACGCTTTCCATGAAGTCCATAGCATATTTTAATGAGAAGCTATAATCTCTTGATATCCTCTCTAACAGCCATTTACTACCATAATCCCTTACAAAGCAAGTGTATCCTCATGGTTCGTTAACTAATCCCTAAGCTAATGTAAAGCTTAATTAAACAAGCTTTCTACAACAAGAGCACTATGGAGGGAGGGGGAAGCTGGAATGAATGTCTTGGCCTTGTGCACTGCCAAGAAATTATGAAATCTTTTAACCCTCCTATTGTCTTCGTGTTCCCCCCCTTACTTTGCGGTCAAATTTGACCGGTCCTGTTTTAACTGCTATTACATTAACACAAAAACCATTCATCATCACCAAATTTCATTTAACACCCTTTCAAACTGTACATATTGTATCAGACTACTGGTAAATATACAAAGAATAGACACTGAACATGTATTGCGTGTGCCAGGTGTGATCCATATGGGGGGATTGGACACATAAGGGGGGGAAACACATCTAGAGTGTGTGTGTGTGTGTGTGTGTGTGTGTGTGTGTGTGTGTGTGTGTGTGTGTGTGTGTGTGTGTGTGTGTGTGTGTGTGTGTGTGTGTGTGTGTGTGTGTGTGTGTGTGTGTGTGTGTGTGTGTGTGTGTGTGTGTGTGTGCCAGGTGTGATTCACATGGGGGGATTGGACACATAAGGGGGGGAAACACATCTAATGTGTGTGTGTGTGTGTGTGTGTGTGTGTGTGTGTGTGTGTGTGTGTGTGCGTGTGTGTGTGTGTGTGTTTATCTGATCCGGATGGTTACTAATTCCTTTTCTTTATGGCGGACCGGGAACACCATGGGTGTTACAAAGTTGACTAAATCATCCAAAATGCAATGAAAGTGGTGATCAGCAATTTTCTATGTTCAAATGTCTACTGTGAAGGATATCATAAAGCCTTAATGCAATCGAATGTAAAACAAAAAAGTTATGATTGATGAAAGTAGTAAATCGGTCAGATTTGACCCGAAGACAACAGGAGGGTTAAAGGTATAATAACAATGAATTGACTTATTCAAATATGAACCCTCTCAGTGTGGTTAGTGTATATGCAGAGACCCTGCAGCCAATCAGAGCTTTGTTTGTCGACAGCCGTAAAGGACGTGATGCAAAAAATGGAGGCATAATGAGTACTTCTAATCTTGATACTTGCATGATAATAATATTGCTTTAAAAGAACAACAGACCCCAGGCAGCTGACCTCCAGCAGAGCTCTGCGGCAGGTGGCATGTCTTCAGTGCGGCGACTGAATGAGGCGAGTCGATGATCTGCTCTGTTTTTATCTAAAACACCGAAAGCACAACCAAAACGGTATTAACTTTTATAAATAATAAGGCTGGAAAACATTGCCCGTAAATAATCTCTAAACTGTATTAACTCTGGTTTCTGGAGAGGAGCTTAAATCCTAAACAGGATGGGAAACATTGTGTGTGTATAATCCCAGGGGCAAATGACTGCATGTTGACGTGTGTGTGTGTGAAGAGAAACACACACTCCAGGACCAGTTTGGTCACTAAACATGATACAAAGAGTGATAGACGCTCTCTCTACCCTTGGGCAAGCCAGTATGCAAATAACCCTCCCCTCTCCCCCCCCCCCCCCTCTCCCCCCCCCTCTCTTGCACCACCCACCCCTGAAAGCCATGCCACTTCCTGAAAACACGCAGTGAAGTAATTATCCATACTCTCGCCAAAAACGGTGTTTGGATAAGTATCCAAACAGCTGCAAACTATTTGAGATGTTTGTAAAGAGCAGGTAGTTTGTCCCCAGGATGTTAGCCGTGCTGCAGTCAGTTGAGCATTGTGTCCTGGGGAACAATGGCTCTCAGCTATTTGTGTTCCTTACTACGGGTACAAAAAGTAATGTTATGACCTTTTAAATATGTTCTGAGGTTTGACAAAGAACATACACTTCTTTCTAACAAGGATTGTCTGTGAATCCAAAGACTCAAATACTCCTGTGTGCCGTAGAGCTTTGCTTCTTTCCTCAAACATCAAACAAAACCAGACATTTCAACTCAATCCCACTGAAACCTTTCTTCCATCCTGGTCTCTTACAACATTATAACATTTCCATACAATAAAACTTGATTGTGAATTACTCTCTGAGGAAATGGTCACCTGGATTACGTTTGTTTTTGACTTTTCTTGACAAATATCTTTTTATCAGTCCAGGTAAAAGGTACCAGTCAAGGTAAACACTCTCACCCATTTTTGTGTCTGAAGTGAAACCAAAATTCTATTTTTACTATTGGAAATGTACATTACATTACATGTTACTTGTTAGACGCTTTTATCCAAAGCGACTTACATACTCAATACTGTGGGCAATCCCCACAGGAGCAATTTGGGATGAAGTGTCTCAGGGACACAACGACATGCTGACTGCAGTGGGGTTTGACCCTGTGACCCCCTGATCCGAACACCAACGCACAAGTTCACTGCGCCACACGCCTCCATGTACGTTGATAATCTAACAAACATTCTGGGGCCAAACCACAACACCTCACAAAACTGTACTCTACACTCAACTACATTCTTAACTTAACTTAACTTTTACTGGCAGTTTGAGTTATCTAAGGAACACAATTAAGTTACTTTAATGAAAGTGTGAAACCTTGAAACATGTCCACCCGCTGAGCTCCATGCAAACATTAGTGTCTGAACAGGGGAAGGGTTTCGCATCATGGACAAAACCAAATCCTCCAGATGACAGAGACCTCATTCATGAAATCCTAATTCATAGGAATTTGGTCACTTTATTTAAAACTTTACTCACGTGTCGATTGAAGCCGATTCCGTTGTGCCCTAAATGTCAGAAAGGAGGGAAAGAGGTTCAGATTATAAAATGTCACTGTTGCTTATAAGGACTTCAAGATCATATTAAGTCTGTTTGTGTTCAATGTATACGAGGGTACATTAGACACGTTAGACATTCAGTGTCAACAGATTACATTTGATTGTTTTTTTTATTTTTATACACAGCTGCATTGACACACACACACACACACACACACACACACACACACACACACACACACACACACACACACACACAAACACACACACACACACACACACACACACACACACACACACACACACACACACACACACACACACACACACACACACACACACACACACACACACACACACACACACACACACACAAAGTTTTTCCTGAAAAAGTTAAGTTAACTGGCTTTTTTGTTGTCGTTTAATTTGATCTATATTTGAACCCAAGGGATATCGTGTTACAGCCAAAACATCTTATTTCTAACGTGATTCAGAGTTATAGTATTACAAATAAGATATACAATTAGAATTTGATTAAATTGTCTAAACCAAAACTACATCATAACACCTTGATACAACAACAACTGAATAAAAACACATTAAAAATAGAATAATAAGAAAATACCAACAAAAACAAAACAAAACCGTGACTAGAAACTTGTCAACTAAAGAATAGGAACATACTGTGATACAAAACATTCATACATGCAAGTATAGTGTGTGGTATGCTGTCTCTCTTATCAGAGTTTTGTGCTGAATGTGGCCACAAGTATTCATATATCTAGAGAATTGATTCAAAACAACAAAGTAAGTTCAGTTAGATTCATCTCTATCTCGGTTTATTGTGCGTATTATTTGGTAAATATACTTAAAACCCAAGCATAGGTATGCAACCATAACTTATAAAGCATAATAAAATAAATAATTGAGGTGTATTATTAAGGTAATATCCCAATTTCATTATTTTTAAACACACAGAGCCTGGTAAGTAATGTATTAGGTGTTTCATATACACACGTGAAGGTTTGTAAAAAGGAAAATAAATATTCTGTAAGCATGCAGCATATTAACTGCAGTTGCTGCGGACTTTTTACGTAAATAACAAACGTTTAAAAGTCTTTGTGTCGTTCGCAGCAGTGCAGAGAGTCCGACAGAGGAGGGGAGTTTAAAGGTGTGCTGGATAAGCTCGCTTCATTTGAATGTCAAATTGGGCCATATGGACTGTGTGTGTGTGTGTGTGTGTGTGTGTGTGTGTGTGTGTGTGTGTGTGTGTGTGTGTGTGTATGTGTGTGTGTGTGACAGAGGCTGCTCGAGAGACACACAATGCAAATACACCTATAAACACCCCCACCCCTCTCCCCCTCCCCACTCTGTCACTGCCCCCCCACTTCACAGCCAAACTTCCAGTATGGAAATGACCAAGACATGCAAATCAGCTGCGAGCGCAGGAAGCCTGTGTGTGTGTGTGTGTGTGTGTGTGTGTGTGTGTGTGTGTGTGTGTGTGTGTGTGTGTGTGTGTGTGTGTGTGTGAGAGGCCTGCACACACACTCTGGAAACGGTGGGTGAACACAAAAAAAATCTCCTTTTCAACCAGTTGCTTTGTCCTTCACTCTGTCTGTCATACATTGTATGGTAAAAGCAGAGGTGGGAAGTAACTAAGTAGATTTACTCATAGACTGTATTTAAGCACAATTGTTGAGGTACTTTACTTGAGTATTTCCATGTTATGCTACTTTGTACTTCTGCTCCACTACAGTTCAGAGGTAAATCATGTACTTTTACTTCACTACATGTTTTTAATACCTTTAGTTACTTTACAGATCTGGATGAATGATGTGGAATATAATCAAGTGTTAAATCAGACTTTAGTTCCACCTGGAGTAAATTCACAAGCTACCCTGCAGTATACAAAGTCATTCAAACTAGCTGCACCTTTACCAGCTTTGATAACACTTTCATGATCAATCATTATAAAACATATCATATATATTATTCTGAAATGGACCAATCTGCACAATGACTACTTTTCCTGTCGCTACTTTAAATATATTTTGATGAGAATACTTTTCTACTTTTACTTGAGGAACATTTTGAATGCAGGACTTTTACTGTAACAGAGTATTCCTACACTCTGGTACTTCTACTTTTACTCAAGTACTAGATCTGAGTACTTCTCCTACCACTGGTAGTAGTGGGCAAGTTGCAAGTAAATATATCCTTTTGGACAATCCATAATAGTCATAGATAGATAGACATGTCAGCAGCTCCTTGTTTTCCTTTGTCCATTGCATTATGGGACATTACTTAACTGAAGAATCCAGCTGATTTGATACATTATGATTTTCTTTAAAGCAGAAGACAGTTGAATTTTGGCCTCATTGGGTAAAAATCCCAGGATAATCTTTCAGCATATTGAAAATCAAGTGGTACCCTAGATTTCTTTTTGTAAACCTGCGGGCGTGTAAAGACCTTTGAGATGACATCCTGAGATTTGAGGCTCTAGCTAAAAACCATTTTGCGAAAGCGTTGCAGAGATGGAGGAAAAAGTTGCTAATACCGATAGTTTATTCTGCTGCTTCATCAGTAGCGCCCGGCTAGCATAATGCTAAACTATTAGCAACATTATCTCTCAATCTCTGAAAGGCTTTGATTATATCGTCATACTGTCTTTTCTGGAAAAATCCGTCTTCCTCTCTTATCTCTGCGGTGTGAGTCGCCAATGCTAGAAAGCAACTTATTCTACGGATCACTGTTTTATTAGGCTTTCTACGTTGTAAAGGAACGGGATATCATATACTATAGTCTAATATGGAATTATTTTTACAAGCTAAATGCCTACCCCAGCTCTCATTTGGTCCATTTTCCAGTCTGTACATACTAATAGAGCATCAGCTCAGCCTGTGTTAACTGTTGGTTCAAAATGTTCTGTATGTATGTAGTGATCTTTCTAACTCACTTGTATTCAATGCATGCAGGTTTTCCAAACAGAAACTAGTGCTGTTATCTTCCTTCCTATCTGACTGCTCACTGAGATCCTAACATGCATAGGAATTGTTCTTTTTCTCTATCAGTGCAAAAAGCTACACAGAAATGCAAATGGATAAATGTGAACTCAGACACAGGTTGGCCAGCACATGAATGTTTATTGTCACACATCTGACAGATTAAACATCCGACCAACTACCATTTAAATAATGGTAAAATATTAATTATAATGTTTAAAAAAAATGCTCATTTGCATTTTATGAGAAACTTCTAAAAGTGTTCAACGTGAGAGTGAACATTTTTAATAAACAAAGTTGCCAAAAATACAGAAGCTATTTGCAAAAATGTTTACTGAGCTTTGTTTTCTATGATATTGTCTCTTAAACAACATAATTAGACTTTCGCTAATGAACAGTAAGGTCACCCACACGACCAGTAAGGGGAAGATAATGGGCTTGGTCAGTTTAACTTGAATTATGTTTCCCTACACTTTCCCTTACACAAGACTGAAAACTCATCTCCATTGTCAAACATTTCTTTGCCTACCATCAACCCGACAACCAATAATGTTAAAAAACGATTAGATTCAACTATTAGATGTACTACCTAAATGTACAACTCTGAGAGACTGGATTGGACAAGGTGATGAGACTCACTACACAGACGCTCAGCTGTTAATATGAGAACCAGGATTAAAACGTTTCTCTCCTGCTTCACTTCACGAGTCAAAGGGTCAGTGTACCCAAATTATAAAAACTCTCTAGCTTACCCGTGGCGCTTTCTCAGCACACAGATCGTTTTGGTTTTATCTGGTGAGGTTTGTCTCTGAGAGTCTTTTTAGGTACAGTGGAGGTGAGGGGAATTTAGTCTCTGTTGCTCCCACGATGACATATTACAGTAAAATAATCAACACCATGTATCAATGTGTTTTTACAAATAAGTGTCCCAAGTCATAGTGACAGGCGTCATGGTTTTTTCTTTTGAGGAAGTAGTCTCTTAATGCTAAAATCCTTTTGCTTTAAATGTCATTCACCATGTTGCTTAGTCACTTTGTATTAGCGTGAAGTCCAAAATACTTACAAACTTTGACAAGTAAAATCAAAACTATCTGCATGCAGAGATGCTACTAAGAGCATGTGAGAGAAAAAGTGTTTAATTTGTAATCTGGATGAACCACCATTAATGCTCTCATGGCTCCTAACAAATGACAGATGATGAGAGCGGCAGGAACATTTCTTCAGCTTTAAACTGACAAGGGATTACTATATTTTGACAAAAACACAGCCAGTACTTCCATTAAATTGAGATGTTAACTTCTCTCACGGGCGATTGTCTAAATAATAGTTCCACTTTTTCTGGTTCCTTGTTTTGGCGCCGCTCGTTCTCGGCCCTCGGCAGCCAGCGCTTCTCAGCAAACAGCCTCAGGGCCGTACTGGTAAAGCTACCAACTGCCACAATATCCCACACACACACACACACACACACACACACACACACACACACACACACACACACACACACACACACACACACACACACACACACACACACAGACACACACACACACACACACACACACACACACACACACACACACACACACACACACACACACACACACACACCTCCCTACAACAGGTCAAAATGCAACCTCTAGTAACTAAATGCATTTACTCAAGTACTGAGAATGTTGAGATACTTGTACTTTACTTGAGTATTTCCATGTTATGCTACTTTCTACTTTTTCTCCACTACATGTATTTAATCCCTTTGGTTACTTTCCAGATGTGGATGAATGATGTGAAATATAATCAAGTGTTAAATCAGACTTTAGTTCCACCTGGAGTAAATCCACAAGCTACCCTGTAGTATACAAAGTCATTCAAACTAGCTGCACCTTTACCAGCTTTGAGAACACTTTAATGATCAATCATTATAAAACATATCATATATATTATTCTGAAATGGACCAATCTGCACAATGACTACTTTTACTATATTTTGATACATATATACTTTTACTTGAGGAACATTTTGAATGCAGGACTTTTACTGTAACAGAGTATTCATACACTCTTCTACTTGTACTGAGTACCCACCTCTGCTCTATTCAGACCACCTCAGGCATCATATGGACCAGTATGAAGAACATCATTGTATATAATATAGTAGCACATCTTTCTAAAACCTAATATAAAACAACAGCACCAAAGACCATTGCACAGTGATAAAACATGTGAATGGAAGAAGTAAAATGTTGCCAATAAAAGGTAGAATTCAAAATGTTTTTAAAGCAAACTAGAGACTTCTTAATAACTATAACAATTGAGCGACAGAACATGAATTGCCAACTATTTCTACGAGTCGTTTCAGTCATTTTTAATAGTGAAACAATTCTCAAATGACAGCATTGAAATGTTTTGGGGTATTTCAACTTTTAGTCGAACCTTTTTGTTTTAAATAACATTTTGTGACATTTCCTACTCGAAATAATCATCTATGAGTGAAAAGAGTTTTAGTGACAGTAGTTGGTAATTCTCTACAAATATCTTCACAGATAATCCAGACAATTACACATTAACGAGAGACAAACACAAGTAAGCTTTCTGAAATATACTTTTTACGTTGAATGTGTCAAACTCCCTTACAACAAACCAAATAAAAACGTCAAAGACGAAAAGCAAACAAAGTATTTCGGTGGAAGTGAATTGAATAAACCGCTCTCTGACTCTGAGTCATTTCTAGTGAACTGTGTGTGTTTGTTATGAGATAATTAAGTGCAAGATAAAGGTGAAACATCCTTACCTGCCTGTTCGGCTGGAGCCTCCGACTGCTCCACCGTGTCTGCGCTCATCTTAATATCTAGAAGGATAAATCCGGCTGATTTCACTACAGGATTGCACCTTCACCAGGACACTGAATGAAGCACTCACACTCACATTACCCTGACTTTATTCTAATGCCTCCCCTCCCATCCACCCCACCACAAACGTACTGTACACTTTTAATATTCATAATTGAAGCAAATATTCCCATCTTAGCCACACAGCAAACAAACAGTGTAAGAACTCGTGAAACAATGAAGATGTGAGAAAAGTAATTGATGAGTAAAAAGATAATACCTCACCTCACACAGATTAAAACAGTTACTGTCGCTCCAGCTGCCGTCTGTTCTCTCTGATTATTTAAAGCAAAACAAATGTTGGTTTAAAAGTTTTTGGGAATCCACAGCTGCTCATCAGCATTTTCCTAAGTGGAGAAACGCTCACCTCTGCAGCACAACCCCCTGCTGCCTGATAGGCTCCTTTGCATATTTGCCTCAGTGCGTCCTATCCAGCTTCAGACTGTTTGCATAAAACAACAATGGGGTTACTGCAAATGACAGTGTGTGTGCGTGTGCGTGTGTGTGTGCGTGAGTGTGTGCGTGAGTGTGTGCGTGCGTGTGTGTGTGAGTGCGTGCGTGCGTGCGTGCGTGCGCGCGTGTGTGCGTGTGTGTGCGCGTGCATGCGTGCGTGTGTGCGTGTGTGTGTGTGTAACAAGAGTATTATTACTTCCAGAGATATGAGTCATTGTTAGTGACGGGAAAATGTAGGTAAAAATCATTAAATATTAAGCTTAAATTAAATAAATATGTACTTTTATTTACTTCGAAATGTTGGCTACCTGTGCTTTGAATAAATAGGCCTACTCTCTACCTTGAATTTTTGATCTTACCTTAAAAAGCTACAATTTAAAGGCTGTCTAATTCTGATGTCTTTACGTTTGCTCACGTTGTCACACAACTCTTGAAAATGTATTTTTATTTTATTTAACCTTTATTTAACCAGATAAAAGGCATTGAGATAAAATCTCATTTACAATGCTGACCTGGCCAAGAAGGCAGCAACGTTACACATTCTTACCTATGATTCTTACACATAACACAGACATATCAAATACAGAGAACACAACTAAGTAAACAAAAAGACGAAAAGCAGTCACTACATTGTGCACATTGGGACAGTAAGAAAGGTACTACTTATTACTGCAAGAGCAGCTGGTGGTAAGGACCTCAGACAACTTCAATTTAAAACATGATATTGAGACAAGTGCCATCAGTTTTAGGCTTGATTGAAGGTCATTCCAAGACCAAGGACCATAATGAAAAAGACTTCTTTCTCCCGCCTCAGTCCGCACAGCAGGAACCTGTAACCGTATCCAGGCACTGGATCTGAGGTTGTAAGAGTCACAAACTGGAGCAAATCTGGCACATATACAGTGGAAGCTTACCTAAAATGGCTTTATACATTAATAAAAACCAGTGCTGCATCCTACGCATAGTAAGTGAGGACCATCCAGTTAGGCTATACAGTTTGCAATGATGAGTCCTAGAGGGTGCATTTGATATGTATCGCAGTGCAGCATGGTAGAGTGGGTCAAGTTTGGCCATAAACAGTGGGACAGGCAAATCTATAGATTGTATCACCGTAGTCAAGCTGGGACAGGAATAAGCCAGAGACCAACCTTTTACGAGAAGAAGTTGAAAAACAACGTTTAAGTCTGTAAAGGAAGCCAAGAGTGAATTTCTATTTCTTAGTTAGAACTTCAATGTGGTGGAAAAGAGGGCAAGATAGAATTATTTTATTATAATTAATTCAGATTTAACCAGCTTTGTTGTTTCTGTCAGTAATTTCTGAGTGTTGTTACACTCATTGATGGACTGAAGATAATGTGAAATATTCTTTAGCTGTTTTATTGATTTGTGGACTGTGTGTTTTGACATTGTATAATTTGTTTTTATTCTGACTTGTATGCATTCAGGAATGATGTCTTGTAAAACCCATGCTGGGTATAGTTACATACATTACACAACAACGGAAACTTTCTACCTTCAATCTGGGTCATAATAATTAATAATAATCGTGCTATTTCCAAATATATTTTATTACCAAACTTTGATACCAGTGGTGGAATGTAATAATGAGCTCCTTAAAGTCATGAACAATAAAATGCAATGGACATTTTGGTATGAAATGACGACATTAATTTATTATAATTAATTATTTACTCTTGTTTTTCCTGGCCTCAATACTTTTACAAGATAAATTGTTCAACTAAAAAACATAAAAACAAAATATCCTCTGTAGTTCTGCAGCCTGTCCAGCAGGTGGCGACAATATCCCTCAAGCAGTCTGACAAACAAGAACCAAATAAAATCCAGCGAAGAAGAAGTAGGAGCTCGTTGATTGGTTATTGCTAGGGGACAGCTTAACAGCAAGCGCGACCGCTACATCTTCAATTTACAGCCAAAAAAAAGGCTTTTTCAACGTTACTTCTACCTTTACACGGCCGCAGCTAGACATATTTACATGTTTTGTGGCAACTAATCCAGCGGACACAACGCCAACTGTGTGCTAGGATAGATAATGTAGTTCAACTGTTCGTTTCTCAGGTGGGACAGACGAGTCTGGGAAGGTAAGTGAGCCACCTTGCTAATGGCTGCAAGCTAGCTAGCATCACATTAATTATTCATATTTTTAGTTTTCTCATTATTCACGTCAACCCCGCTAGTTTATGTTAAGGAGCAAAGAAAGCTAATGTCTTGACTGCTCCCGGGAAGATAAACTAGCTGTCAGTGTGTCTGCTGATGCTAGGCCTTTTCTGTTGGATGTCATTTGGGCTCAAGCTAACGGTTCTGATCTTTTTAGTGAATTTGTAACTTTAATAAAGAAAATTACATATACATATTTTTATGGTCGGAGCAAATGCTTTTATATACACTACCGAGAAAACAGTTGGAATCACCTGCAATATTTATGTGTTTCTTTTATTCAATATTGGCTAACAGATCAAAACTGTAGATTTCAGATAGTAGATTATTATTAATTATTATTATTTACAAGTTGAACAGTTTATGCCCAAACTAAGAATTAAATGATTCAGACTTGCATTTGTATTCCAGGACTAAATTGCAGTCTCTATGTAGTAATTCAGCAGAACATACTAACATTTAAATGTACATTTAAGTGTAAACCCTAAAATGTTTAAACCACAACTCAAGGCAAGGCAAGTTTATTTATATAGCACATTTCAACACAAGGCAATTCAAAGTGCTTTACAAAAATGAAAGACATTAAGAGCATTAAGAAACATATTATAAAATGATATCTAAAAACACTCATTTAAAAGCAATGATACATGGATTACAGTTATAGTGCAGTGTGAGATACACACATCTGAACGAACCCCCCATTGGAAAATTATAATCTGACCCCATGGTACCTTTTAGTTTTCGCCGAAACTATTCCTCTTTTTTATTTTTAAATGCACATAGTTAAGTTTACCTTGTCTTTCTAGGACTTTTTTGGTATCCTCCGTGAACCAGGGTCTCGAAACCAAAACGGATTCCTGTACCCCATGGTACCTTTTTAGCTTTCGCCAAAACTATTCCTCTTTTCTTTAAATGCACATTAGTTAAGTTTAAGTTGTCTTTTCTAGGACTTGGCTTATTTTAACAATGCTTTTTTTTTTTTTGACCAGCACCTCACTCATTGATTCGTTGTAGAGATCAAGAACTTCAAAGTGGCCGAAATGGACGAACAAAGTGTTGAGGTTTGTACACACACACACACACACACACACACACACACACACACCACACACACACATACACATACACACACACACACAGGAGATCCTTAACTAACAGTAATATTTAGCCTGATAGAGTGCTTTGTCAGCTGCCGCGGCAGGAAGAGAGAAGTCAAAGGTCAAACATGGTTTTGGACAACAAAGTGTTGCCATTTTATGCAAATGTGATCAAATGTGTTGGCCCCATCTGCTTTGACCTCTTTTGATCACAACAAATGACTAAGATAGCTTGTGCTGCCATCGCAGATACAGAGTGTTTGTATAAAGTAATATAGTGTCATTATTTTGAGATCAACCCAAAAAAAAATAGCTCAGTAAAATATTAACATTAAGATTCATCCACCAGGTTTGGTAGAAAACCTTTTGTGGTGATGTATCTACTGTAAGCAATGCTTATATTGTAGCCTGTAGGTTTTTTCCAAAAGTAATTTCTACCGGTTATAAGTTATTACATTTGCGAATGGCTAGAAACCCCCTACAATAACAGATCAAATAAGTTCAATAATCGAGTATACATTATTTTTGTGTTATTATTGTAAGCATTATCTAATATAAATATAAATGAAATCAAGATCTTACAGCAAAGAGAAAGAGTTAAACACAACAAAATGGCAACGTACCAAAGTTCAGGGTATGTAAGATAGCAGTATGGATGCTAAAGATTACAAATAATTCAATGCAGTTTTGAGGTTAGACATTCGTTAATCTAGACATGACTTGATTTGGAAAAGAGTCATGCGCATTCAAGATGTCATAAACAATTATTTGATGAATCTGTTTTACTCCCAACTTATAAAATACAAATGTATAATCCAACATAATTCATAAAATTCGCTTTTACTAACCTTGTGTTTGATCTATGACATTCAGTTTCTGTTTGCACTGTAATTGAGTGATGTTGATTTAACCCCGTGGTGATTTCTGTGCTGTATTTTAGTCCTCTCTCTCCTGTCCCGTGCAGAGCATCGCAGAGGTGTTTCGCTGCTTCATCTGCATGGAGAAACTGAGGGACGCTCGCCTCTGTCCACACTGCTCCAAACTGTGCTGCTTCAGCTGCATTCGAGTGAGTCTGTTCCCACAAGGCAGGGACAGGAAAACAATCTCCCTCGCTGCCTAGCTTTGTATTCTGCTAGTAATAGTAATGAACTGATACTACAAATAAAGACTGGTTAGTTATCCACACGTGCTGATGCCTGCATTTCTTAGAATAAGATAAGAGCTTCATTTTGGGTGTTAAAGAAAAGGTATACAGTGTGTGAAAGAACAAAATACTTAGTTTTGCAATTCCAGAAAATTGCTGTTGTCACGAGAGATCATTAGACCTTATTGCCTAATTAATGCCATCTTTACATTTTTACTGAAACTTAATACATTTTCTTTTTTTATGTGGGAATATTTTAAGTGGTTGATAAATATACATTTGATGTAAAAAGTATTTATTGCAGGATAAGCAAATAAACTACTACACACATGTTCATATTATGCTATTGATCCATGTTTGGATAACAATGAAGCACTTTGGTGTCAGAGGAATAAGATATATCATATACTTTGGTCTTTTCACAGGATTTGCTTATAATATAATATAATATGGGGTTTAGGCTGCTGTATCCTGAGGAGAATCATGTGTATTTGAGAATGGCATCCTGTTTGTGTTTAGATTAAATGATGATTTAACTGTAATCTCTTGTTTGACAGCGGTGGCTGACGGAGCAGAGAGCCCAGTGTCCACACTGTCGGTAAGAGCATGCTAACACACAACCCTCACTACTGTATGTCAGTGTTTAGAGTGTGTGTAACTTCACACCCAATTCATCATAGAAATGTAATCAGCAAAAAGGGCATCACATCCAGTTGCATCTTCAAGATCCAATACTTACTTGCCATTTCAATGAATTTGATTTGACGAGTATTTCTAAAACACACCTCGAATGACTGTAGTGAAGTAAAGGGCATTTGTGGTAAGGTATTCAAATGAGTGTGTGTGTGTGTGTGTGTGTGTGTGTGTGTGTTCATGTACAGGGCTCCGCTCCAGCTGAGGGAGCTGGTGAACTGTCGCTGGGCAGAGGAGGTGACCCAGCAGCTGGACACCCTGCAGCTGTGCAGCCTCACCAAGCACGAGGACAACGACAAGGACAAGTGAGCACCTCCTGCTACCCCCCCCCCCCCCCCCCCTCACCCCCGTCTCCTTCCCCACCCCTATGGCACTCGGTTAAAGCATTTCAAAATGTATTTAGATGATTTTTAATTGTAACACTACCATTTATGACACTCGCCCTGTGATTTCTTACCAAAAACTGTTGATAATTTGTTTTAAAGATTAGTTTATATACATTTTCAACAGGAATTGGGAGCAAATTGTGGCAAAAATTCACCAGAAATTCCTAATCCTAATTCCTGATATTCAACCGTGCAGTTCACACTTCTTGATATTATTCATCCCACCTTTAGCATATTCATCATCTCCATCTCCTGCATTTTATGAAGCTTGATATGTTTGTAGAAACAGGCCAAATCTTTTAGCGTTGACGTTGAAGTTTCTGTGTGACAAGCAAGTGTCATTGGATGATTCCTTTGCAGATGTGATAACCACCATGAGAAGCTGAGTGTTTTCTGTTGGACCTGTAAGAAATGCATCTGTCACCAGTGTGCTCTGTGGGGAGGCATGGTAACGTTTCACATCTTTTTATTTGAAGATTACAGCTTGCATGCCAAATTACAATACTGACAATTGCCAATTTAGTAGAAATCAGGCTGCAACTAATTTCTATTTATTTTATCTGATGAATATGCAGAATATTTTTTCAATAATCAAAATGTCAGAATGAAGTAAGAACCTCCTTATGCCTCAGGAGACATCATTACATGAGTTGATTAGTTCATCTTAGTTACACCTCACAAGTAGAACTACAGACAGATGTGTGTTTTGGTTGTGTCCAGCATGGCGGCCACACCTTCAAGCCTCTGGTGGAGATCTACGAGCAGCATGTGACCAAAGTGAAGGACGAGGTCGCCAAACTCCGCCGCCGCCTCATGGAGCTCATCAGTCTGGTGCAGGAAGTGGTGAGCTCTGCTTTTATAAAAGAGATGTTAAAGAACAGTGGCCATGACATTCACTCTTCTTTGAGGATGAAACTTCTTCAGATTGGGTGCCCTATGAGCTTTCTTGTAGCGCCATATTCTAGACAAGTTGTCATCTGCTAACACAATGAGCCTCAATAGGGAAGGAGAACAAATGTAAAGCAACCAAGTTTCCGATTATAGTACTGAGGCACCTCTCAGAGTGAAACCATATAACCATACCACCTGCTAAACTGTCGAACAACGCTGAGAAAAATCAGCCCATAAAAGAAAATATATGGTGTGTAAACATTAGTTTTTATTCTTGTTTTTTTATAATTGTATTACTGTATCTTATTCCAAATACTGTTAGATTAAGGCAGATATGTCAAACTCAAGGCCCGGGGGCCAAATCAGACCCTTGGTGGATTTAATTTCGGCCCGCAGGATAATTTCTAATTACTATTAGATCTGGCCCGCCGGTATATTGCACGCACACCTTCACTCAATCCTGAGGATTTCCTCAGCTCAGAGTCTGACCCCAAACATTGATGACCTTGCACCCAAGATGAGATGCCAAGTATCTGGCTTGAACTAGCATCACAGAGCAGCAAACTGAGTTTACATGGATGTTTCCTTCTGCACTTTTTCTCTTGCGACAACAGGGCATGTTTGGTTTTTTCTTTGAGGGGAATTGTTTTGTTGAAGCTGTTGTTGGCCTGTGGAAAAATGTAATCATAAGAAATGACTCCGGAAAAGCTGCAGATAGAGCCATAAGAAATGAATGCAACTGATTATTTAATGTTTAATGTTGTTTTTATAGGCAATAATTTAAGCTTTGTTAGTTCCAGGTTTAATATGTGCAATAAGTTCATTTCAATAAGTTCTGCAATAAACATTGAACCAGTCCGGCCCTCGACCCATTTTAATTATCGACTAGTACCCATTTTTTGAGTTTGACACCCCTGGATTAAGGTATCATCATTTAGGTGAGGTTTCTTCCTGGTCTGGATCACAATTTAAATGTGTCACTTGTAAGTTTTACTTGTTGCCATAATATCATTTTGCTGAATTAGACGTATTTAAGTATTTAAAAGTTCAGCTTATAAACAGTACTTAAATGTGGCCTTAATGCATTATTTCATTTTGGGATAAAATCATAAAATATATAGTAGTTGTATAAGAGTACTGCTGACATCCACTAGATGTCACCAACATGTCGTCACTTCAGTTGAGTTCTGTGAAGTGAAGCAATGGCCAATGTGTGTATTTGTGTGTGTGTGTGTGTGATGGGATCAGGAGAGGAACGTGGAGGCTGTCAGGGGAGCGAAGGACGAGAGGGTCAGAGAGATCCGAAACGCCGTGGAGATGATGATCGCCCGTCTGGACAACCAGCTGAAGAACAAACTCATCACCCTCATGGGTAAGACCGGAGGACACGTCACTGTCACAGAGCAGCTGGGTGGAGTCTGTGACACTTCTCAAAGTATTTCTATATTTACAAATACTTCTTCAGGGTGTCCGCAGGGTCTTAAAAAGTATTAAAAGTTGATAAATAAATTTAGCGAAAATTAAGGCTATTAAAAAGTATTAAACGGCATTTTCCAAGGTATTACATTTTGTAGCTTGTTTTCAATAAGTATATAAATTGTCCAAAGAGGTTGTATTCTACAGTCTGCCTGAATGTAATCATTGCGTAGGTGTGTAGTGTGATTCTGTGTAGTTTATTTATGTCATCCCGTTGGATTTGACGTCCTCTGAACAGGACATCGCACGCTCACTGCTTGATAACGCGCGAAGGCCCGTTTACGCCGGTTGTTAAACCACATCGTTATGGGGAAATGCAAGTTTGCGTCCAAATGGTTGGAAGATAAGGAGGAAGGACAATCAACACTGTATATAGTCAATGTGAGGTAAAGTGTGTCTCCAATGTAACCGGTTAAAACTCAAAGTGGCGATGAGGTCTTAAAATGTATGGAAAGGGTCTTAAAAAAGGTCTTAAAAAAGGTCTTAAAAGGTCTTACATCTGACTTCAGGATTCCTGCATATACCCTGTTTATGTTGGCTACATTTGTATTCTCAATAGTTTATATCCTAACTGAGCTTTATCAAACCAGAATTATTCTTAAAATCTGAAACAAGGTTGCTTTTTAAATTAAAATGTGTGTTTTTAAGCCTGAAAGATTAAATAACCCTCATTTAAATTAATCCTTAACCTCTTTTCGACAAATCACTAATAACATCAATCCAATGCCAATCTCGTCTCTATTTTTAAATCTTGAATCGCTATTTAATAGTATACTGAAAATGTTTCTGTACATATGATGGAAGAGGGTTATGCTAAAGGTCACACATAAATAAAATGTCGTTAAATGTGCATTTTCCCAAAAGTTACCCAAAAAAGGTATGTTTTTTTAATATTTAAATTGGACAAAACTCCAGAGCTTCAATCTTTTTATTCACAATCAGTTTCAAAATACAAATATAAGACATGGAGAAATGTGAAATGAGACACCCTACAAGACAATCAGAAGCTTTAGATTTGAGGCCCAGACACTAAACAGAAAGTATATATATTAAGAACACATCTAGAATTGGAGAGAGTTCATATTAAACAAAAACATTTACAAGCTAAAAAACAGCTAACACTAATCAAGCTTTGAGGGACACGTTTTGTCTGAATCACAAAAGGCCCTCCCTCTCACAGCGTTATGTGGCCAGCGGTGTTACATCTTCCTCGTCTGAAAAGAGCTCTTGTCGAAGCGAGACACCTTTTATCTGGCACTACAAAATGTGTGAAGGTTGAGACGTTAACTCGACAAAATCCTCTGTGCTGAAAAAAGCCGCAAGAGACGCCTTTTTATAGCTACGGGGCAATACACAGATGAAATATTTATCTGGACTGAGTGGATGCATGCACTCAGCGCCCACACCCGACCACTCACACTCTGACATTCAGCACAAGCACGCTGAAAATAGAAATATGTGTCTCTTCCCCCCCCCAGGCCAGAAGACGTCCTTGACCCAGGAGACGGAGCTGCTGGAGTCTCTGCTGCAGGAGGTGGAGCATCAGGTTGGTGTTATGCAGCAGCACAGAGCCGCCAAACATCCAGCTGCACTGCATGGTGTTGTTGTTTCAGATTCACAGCTTTTTAATAGTTAAACAGCTGTGATTTAACTATTTTTTTATATTTATTTCTGTATTTTTGGAGATAAAATGAACAACAGTAGATCAATTGATTGAGCGACGTGTTCTTTCATTACCATGTTATGCCATAAACGCTATAGTTTTGTTTTAGTTAATCTCCTAAATACACACATCCCACTACTGTTATAAGTCAGTAAAGCATCAAATGTGCATTCACCCACATTTAAAAGGGTTCCCCAACAAATGCATTATTCATTCTGTTGAGTATTCATTACCTAAAACTACAGTGACCAGAGGGGCTGGGATTTTTGTTACAATTTTCTAGCATTTTCTAGTCCAATCGATTCATCAAGAACATAATGGAGGTTGCAGCCCTTTTGCCTACCAACAAAAATACATTATAAACAACCATATTTGTTTCTGTACTGGAGTAAATACAGGTAAACAAAACAAGTATTAGTTAAAGGGGACCTGTCATGCAAAATGCACTTTTTGATGTCTTTTATACATAAAGATGTGTCCCCGGTGTGTCGGGGAACTCACGCAGCGTCAGAAAATAAAACCCTCTCTTGTCGTCCGTACCCAAATCTTTAAGAACAGGGGTACAACGGAGCTGATCCAGATTTGTGTCCGATATGACGTAATATCTGAAATGTGGACCCACGGCCCTATCAGAAAGTTGCTATCAGAAACAATGCCCGACTGTTTTGGACGTAATATGGTCGGTGTTTACATTAGCATCGCTAACACTCAGAGCTAACCTGTACTGGAGAGCATGTGTGTGAAGAAGCAGGAAATAAAAAGGAACTCACCTTGTGGTATAACCGGCAAGAGAGAAAGCCTTTGAGCTCCATACTGTTTCAGAAATAATCCTTGATAATCCATGATATGGCGTTTCATCACGGCAGTATTTAGTTTAGACAGTAGCTGCCGGGTCCCGCATGAGCTCAGCCCCCTCCTTTTTTATTTTATCAATTTTTTTATTTTTTTAAAGCTTTATACCCAAAATCAGCACTTTTGAAACAGGAAGTGAAATAGAGGGATATGAGGCATGGCTAGAATGGGTGATCTGTTTGGTATTTTGAGCAAAACACTTCATAGACATGTTTTTTATATATTTGTATATATCTGAGACCTATGCTATTGCCTAAAAATAGCATGATAGGTGACCTTTAAGTTGCATTGAGTCCTTCATTGCATATATAGACGCGGCAGTAAGCGAAAATACAATTATCCTTGACACTTGACAGAAACCCAAGTTTTGATTCCAACTGTTTCTTTCTTGTTTGTTGTTGTACCAGCAACATGTTGAGTTTGTTTTGCTTTTGTTAAACAGCTTCACTCGTGCAGTAAGAGTGAGCTGATCTCAAAGAGCCCGGAGATCCTGCTCATGTTCCAGCAGGTCCACAGGAAGCCCATGCAGTCCTTCGTCACCACGCCCGTCCCTCCAGACTTCACCAGGTAACCTGTCCGCCGGGGGGGGGAAGGTCACGTGTTTATTCTCTTCGTCATACAATATAAAATGTCAAGCCCTATCAAACATGATTGTCACCGATTTAAACTTGCAATGTTATTTATTAATGTGTATATATATTCAAACACAACCAGCAAAATTCACATTTATAAGGCTGTACAATTGATAATGTGTATATATTTACAAGTATATGTTACATTTATACATACACAAGTTTTACATTTTTAACCCCTCCCCCTTTTCCAACAATCCAGCACAGCGCAGACATGGTTCACAAACATGATGAAACAAAGAACAAAAAATGAATATATATATATATATACATATACATGTACACATAAATACATGCCCCATACATACATGCACATATACATACATTCCCAGGAAACAAGAAATGAACAAAATAATACATAAAGTCATCAACACCTCCCCATAGAGCTCAGCCATCATTCCTTGGCCTAGGAAGAACTGTCAGACATGTTGTATAATAGTTTTATGATGAACAAGTTAGATGATATTATATTTGATTATCTTTGTGTAATAAACCTTCCTCTCTGTGCTTCCAGTGAGCTGGTTCCTGCCTACGACTCCAGCACTTTTGTTCTGGTCAACTTCAGGTACTTCCTCTCCTTGGTCGTGTTGAGTCATCGCTGCTACAGGGGACAATAAAACAGCTCAGTGCTATTTACAGTGAGACAGCTCTGCGTTTCTTACTAAATAATGCAAGGGTTTTCTGTTGCGGTCACAGATACACATAGCTCCTCCAATATTTAAATCTTTACATTAAGTTACAAATGTTTGACTTGAAAGATATTTTGTTAAGGTTATTCTGTTCAGCAACATCTGTCCTGCACCGTGTGGCAGTTTGAAAGTTCAAGGTTTGTTTCGAACTTCCCACACATTTAATTTCATATTCTGTTCTTTTACATATCATATTCTATTTACATGTATATAGACTTCTTGCACTATTTTATCTTTGTATTTAATTATATATGTTGCATTGTTGGAGGAGCTCAGGTCAGAAGAATTTCATTGCCATTTCTACACTGTAGCTTATCTGCATATAACAATAAAACCTTTGAATCTTGAAGAGGGGGTTTTGGATAGATTTCCTAGATTACTATGATGGGAATTTACAGTGATTCAGACCCCAGCTCCACGGGAACGCATACGGCAAAACGCATCGGAGTAACGCAAACGCAACCGCAAAAAACCTTCCGCCCACACGCAATATACACCGGATTGTGTCAAGCTACACGAGACGGCTCCGTTTACATCCAACCGCTGGAAAAGCTGCAGTACATATGCCGAACCTGTACGTGGCGCTGTAACTTCCTCCACAAAAGCAGCAACTTCCTCCACAAAAGCAGCGAAGAAGAATGGTTGTCATGGCTGCACTTCTGTTTATTCTCCGCGGTGGGGGCCGACGGAACCGGGCAGAGTTTTTCGCCGGTCAACGTGTGTTAAAGTTTAAATCTTCCGGACAAAATTATAAAAGTGCCGGTCAAAGGTCTTCATTGTTATTTATTGAGCTTTAAAACAAATAAATAACGACGATATAATGATATATGATAATAAAATACACGGAGGCTGTCTCTTTTTCCTCTCTTCTGACAGCGTCAGTGTCTGTCTCATGCAGCAGCTGATCCTGTAATGAGTGACCCGACAGTAAAAATAAACATATTTATAACTAGTTTAGGTAGTTTGAGAGGTAATTAAAATAGCTAAGGGTGATGATCTGACTTGAAGTGTGTGTTTTCCTCCCGCTGCATCACAGATTAGACTTCACTCGCGTTTATGTCCATATCGAGATAAAGATAAATAATCTGAATTCAGTGTGCAGTGTACTTTTGCGGGGGTGAGCAGCAGAGGTGGGGAGAGGCGGGGCTATTGCGTCGTCATTATCAGAAACGGATGACCGTATAGGCGACCACACGGCCCCGTTGGACCCCCCAGAGCGCTCCGTTCCCAGATCTATCCACCTTTGGACCCGTTGTCGTTTGCAGGGTCTGTTTCTACGTTTCCGTTACGGCGTCGTCGAGCTTAAAGGGCTATACGCATGAGAAATATGCGGATTCAACCCGTTTTCGTTCCCGTGGAGCCTAGGCCTCAATATATATGTAGGTTTCTACAAAATGTTGTCAGACAGAAGGGTGTCGCCCTGACCATTGTCGGGCAATTATCATATGGATGTTAGGAGTTGTAGTTAACATGCTGCGCTTCCCCTTCTGTCTGCCCCCCCACCCAACTTAGGACTGTAATGTGGATTGCCTTCCTTCCTCTGTCTCATCTCTATAATTGCTTTTCTGTGTAACGGGGTCAGATCCTGGTACTATCTACTAGTGCAGGACCTCTGTCCTTTCCAGCTGGAAATATGATTGATTCTGTTAAATGCTATAACACGACTTTGGTTTAAGCTTGTATATTTGTTATTTTCTTACCAGAAGGTGATTAAGTGTGGAATTTCCACCACAACTACCTTGGGGTATCCGAGTTAATGCTGAGACCCCATTTACACGCGAGGGCAAACGCAAACGGACCAAATTCGTTTTCAAAAAAGTCTTCCGTTCACACGCATTCGGCTCATTTAACGTGTCCGTTCACACGAGACCACTGGAAACGCTGTAGTGCATATGCCAGGCCTGTAAGTGGCGCTGTACTTCCGCACGAGACCGCTCGACTCTCTGGAGACACCGTAGTACATATGCGGGGCCTATAAGTGGCGCTGTATTCTGCCACAAAATACACCAAAAGCAGCGAAGAATACCCCCGAGCATGGTTGCCATGGTTGCCCTTCTGTTTATGCCCCGCGGTGGATTTAGCAACATGTAGTTCATGTAATTCTCCATGTCCACTTGCTGCTGATGGTTGTGGTAGTGCAAAATCTACAGCTCCTCTAACATCTGTAGCATGGTCAGTAGCTACTGACAGTAGCTACTGACCATGCTACAGCAGTGAGCAGCAGAGGTGGGGAGAGTTGGGGCTATGGCTTCATCGTTATCAGGAAATGATCGTATAGAGCGTACACACTGAGCCGTTTGCCCCCCCAGAGCGTTCCGTTTGCAGATCTATCCACCTTGGGACCCGTTATCGTTTGCGGGGTCCGTTTCCGCGGTTCCGTTACAGCCTTGTGTGAACGAACGGGCTATACGCGAGAGAAAAGTAGCTCGTGTAAACGGCACATGAGAGAGAGGAAGTGTGTGTGGGGTTCAGTGGTTGTTTATAAAGAAGATAAAGAGTGCTTTGAAGCTGTTCCACCCACTGTTTTCAAGATCTTTGTCCACCTGAAAATTCAAACCTGTAGGCACCTGGTGTAAAATATAAAAGTTGTATTAGTTAATTTACATTACATTACATGTTACTTGTTAGACGCTTTAAATCCAAAGCAACTTACATACTCAATACCACAGGAGCACTTTGGGGTGAAGTGTCTTGCCCAGGGACACAACGACATGCTGACTGCAGTGGGGTTTGAACCTGTGATCTGATCCCCATACCAAGGCTCTATCCACTGCACCACAGCCTCCCTTGAACATGTCAGAAACAAAACAAACAACAATAATAATAATAGTTATAACAAAGAACGTTCAAGGTACAAAAAAACAAACTTAAAAACATTCTCAAATAGTCTCTGTCATGTTCACCAAGGGGCAAAAAGAAACTTAAAAACGTTTCTGGTCCCCCTCTAGTGTACATTTATCTTGAAAATAAAAGATTAGGTCATCAGCATCCGTGAGATTGGATTCATTGTTTTACACAAATACTTTTTTTTGTACAAAACAACCAAAAAGAAATAACTTTTTACAATGACAAGAAATAACAAGTATGAGTTCACAGCTCCTGCTCAGAACCATTCAGGGTTTGGTTTCTACATTTTAGTTTAGATAAACTTGCACAATCTTTCAGCTCATCATTACAGTTATTCCACAGATCAACACCTTTTGTTAAAGAATGTATGCACTTGGTGTCCACAACAGTTTCTTCATGTATGTGTTTGTTATGTTTGTAGCACGTTGAGGCAGCGAGCCGACCCGGTCTACAGTCCTCCGCTGCAGATCTCTGGGCTCTGCTGGAGGCTTAAAGTCTACCCTGTGAGTTTTCCTCCTTCTGAGGTTTTCCACTAAAGCCTGACTGCTCTGTGAAATAAATACATGTGTTATAACTTTTTTTTCTTTAGGATGGTAACGGTGTGGTCCGTGGAAACTACCTCTCTGTGTTCCTGGAACTGTCTGCTGGACTCCCTGAAACATCAAAGTATGAAATATTTCCTAATAAATCTGCTTTTTAAATCTTTCTTTACAAACTTAATAGTGTTCTTAGTAAGGTCTGAGGTTTCAATGAATTAAAATGTGGCTTGTAAAAGTATAGCTTTGTCAACATAATGTCATTAGTTTTATTTAGATAAAAATGACATTGGCGTACATATTTGCTACGTGTTCAGAGTGTTTTAATTGCATTTAAGGACAGGAAGTCAATTAGCATTAAGAGAGCTGAAACGTATACTTAAGCAATAGCTCACGACAGGCCGTGGTATATGCTCATTATATCACAGCTAAGGGGTGTGGTTCGGCCCGACGCGAAGCCAGACCAGACTTCTACTTCCTCTCCAGTATAGTTGAGTTTTCTTTCCGGTCCTGTGTAGATATGAGTACCGTGTGGAGATGGTGCATCAGGCCTCCAGTGACCCCACCAAGAACATCATTCGAGAGTTTGCCTCTGACTTTGAGGTCGGTGAATGCTGGGGCTACAACCGCTTCTTCAGACTGGACCTTCTGGCCAGCGAGGGATACCTGAACATGCAGACGGACACGCTGGTCCTCCGGTGGGCTCACACACACACACACACACTCACTCACACTCACAACACACTCACTCACACATAACACACTCACACACACACACACACCTGTGCTGACCTGCACCACTCTGATACTAAAGAAATGAACAGGAAAAGCTCACAGTGTGTTTTCGTGTGTGTGTTTCACAGATACCAGGTCCGCTCTCCAACTTTTTTCCAGAAATGCAGAGATCAGTACTGGTACATCAGCCAGCTGGAGTCTGCTCAGAGCGGATACATCCAGCAGATCAACAACCTCAAAGAGGTGTGTGTGTTTTATTTATTATTTCTTTCAATGTTAAAGAATGCCATCCAATTCAGTATAAAAAAAAGTTTTAAATATGCCTGTGAAATAAATAAATATGGCTATCAAATAATCCCGGCAACATACTGAACGTCAACTTTGCCTCCTTATTACACTCACCCCCACTTTAGTGGGAACAATGAGTCTGCGTCTTTTTTTCTCACGCTGCGCCTCCCCTGAAGCTCTCCGGTGCCCCCCCGGGGAGGCGCGCCTCACACTTTGAAAACCGCTGATCTTGTCAATGTCGTTTTTAGCACTAGGTGGAATTGTAAAATAAAAATTCCACATCCTTAAATGAAATCGCAGCCTCAGAAAACATCTAACATTATCAATGTTAGATGTTTTTTTTTTAATAAAACTAAATTAACTAATTTACAATGTATTTATTTATTTATTGCCTTTATTTATTTTGGGATTTATGCCACAGTCATATTCATTTATTTTGTATTTAATATTTACTGGGTGAGAAAATCAGTTTTTACGAAATCATGTTGTCCAAGTGTGTACGTTTTAAATTCTATTTGTTTTATTTCTGGTTTCAGAGGTTGGCCATTGAGCTGTTTCGGCGTCAGACGTCTCGCAGCTCCTCTCCCCCCGAAATGAGGCTCGCCTCAGGCCCCACCACCTCTGAGAGAGACCTTCGCTCCGTGAAGAGCGACGACGATATCCAGGCCACTTTGACCAACGCTAAAAAAGTTGAAGAAGAAGAGAGGACTCAGCACGATGACTCTAATGTAAGGAATGAGATGAACATCCGGCTACATGTGGCGCGTCCCCATGTAGCCGGTGTCCATTAGCGGTGTCTGCGTTGTGTATCTTTCGTTGAAGGATGAGACCCGAGCCAGCATACTGAGCCGATCTCCGTTTATTCACTCACTGACAACAGATATATAACGAATCAGTAGTTATTATATTAGCTTTCCCTCACACCGACTCTTCTCACGTGGAACACATTCACAAAAAGGGAAGAGGGAAACGTGAGGGACACAATATGAAGAGGGGGGGAGGAAGTCCACACAAAAATATTCTTCTGAGTACAGTGTCTACATTTTGGAGGTTCCGCCCACTGATTTCAGACCTAGTCAGGTATTGAACGTTTATTAAAGGTCACCTATCATGCTATCTTTAGGCAATAGCATAGGTCTCAGATATATACAAATATATAAAAAACATGTCTATGAAGTGTTTTGCTCAAAATACCAAACAGATCACCCATTCTAGCCATGCCTCATATCCCTCTATTTCACTTCCTGTTTCAAAAGTGCTGATTTGGGGTATAAAGCTTTAAAAAAAAAAAAAGGAGGGGTCTGAGCTCATGCGGGACCCGGCAGCTACTGTCTAAACTAAATACTGCCGTGATGAAACGCCATATCATGGATTATCAAGGATTATTTCTGAAACAGTATGAAGCTCAAAGGCTTTCTCTCTTGCCGGTTATACCACAAGGTGAGTTCCTTTTTATTTCCTGCTTCTTCACACACATGCTCTCCAGTACAGATAGCAACGTTTCTGATAGGGCCGTGGGTGTAAAGCCAGCCTACATTTCTGATATTACGTCATATCGGACGCAAATCTGGATCAGCTCCGTTGTAGCCCCGTTTTTAGAGATTTGGGTACGGAGGAAAAGAGATAGGGTTTTATTTTCTGACGCTGCGTGAGTTCCCTGACACACCGGGGACACATCTTTATGTATGAAAGACATAGAAAAAGTGCATTTTGCATGATAGGTCCCCTTTTAAATGAAGAACACAGAATGATTAAATACAAAACACAGCATTTGTGTGATTATACTAAATGATTTACAAATAAATATTTAACACTAAACGCCACTGCATATTTACAATTGTTACACCCATCCCAACCTGGGACCTTTTTAATGGTCTTCTGTAAGAGAATCAACCCGAGCGTTGTTTGATCGTTACTTCACTGTTTTGTTGTTGTTGTTGTTGTTGTCCAGGAGCTGTCAGACGGGGACCTGGAGGTGGACTGTCTGACGGAGGAGGAGGTGAACCCGCTGGACGGCAGCAGCACCTCGGGCAGCTCCACGGCAACCAGCAACACTGAGGAGAACGACATCGACGAGGAAACCATGTGAGGAGATTCTGTCACTTTCTCTAAAGAAACTCAAATGATTTAGACATCCTTTTTTACAATGTCCTTGTCTAACAAAGTAAGGAATCGTGTTCCTTTGTTACCTTCCTTTGTTAACGTGAACCATTTGCATGCTTACTTAATAATTAACTATTTGTTGGTGTGTTTGCACAGGTCTGGAGAGAATGATGTCGACTTCATTGGGAATCTGGAGACAGAAGAAGGAGAGCTTCCCGATGACTTGGCTGGAGCAACAGGTCAAATCCATACACCAATATTCATATATTCATTGTTTTTATTGTGTAGTGTCAATCTGATGGCTGCCTGCTGTTTGGAAAGAAGTTGGTAAGATGAGGTCTGTTTTTTTCTACAGATAAGATCAATACAGACGGCCTTTTTGAGTATTACAAGCAAATGAGTGATAGGACAAAAAATCATAAACAAACAGACAAAGAATAAGGACATGGACAGCAGAGGTCCAAGGTAGGGTAGGTAAGAATGGAGAAACCAGCTCGAGTGCGCTAGAATTTGAAAGTACGCAGCCGGAAAAAATCTGCCCCTTCCTTCAGACTTCCTCACAGAGCCCCTCCTCCAACACACACGAACGCGCACATGACCAATGAGGGCACGAGATAAGTTTGTGCACAGATGGAAGGCTGACAGGCAGGTAGGCCATCCAGTTATTTTAGCCGGGCCGGCTCAGATGATTGGTCGTGCTTTTTACAGCGCCACGGCTTCCACAGATGAAATATATTTATGTATTTATTGTCAAAGCATTTAATGTATTCATTGCTATCGGGATGTTAAGAGCATTCCATGGAATATAACAAGTGTTTCTGAAGTGAATTACCTACCCCACCTTTAACATAGCAATTATTTTCTCAATGAATTATTAGTTCTTTCAAATCAGAAAATAGTAACGATAACAAAATGATCTTCACAGTTTCCCAGAGCCAAAGGAAGTGACTTCTTTTGAACATTTGTGAAACTGAAACCATCAAATATTTAATCTCCTGCCTCAAATAAAGCCCTTGCTCTCTCTTCAGCTGATATAGCAAATAATAGCTTCAGCCACTATTTGAGAATTTAGGGAATAAAATCTATTTCTGTTGTCTGCCAGCTGTACAAGCAGAACACCGTGAACGCTGTCGTGCTCGGTGTGTTTCACTGTGTCGGTGTTGAAAGGCATGAAGAGGATGAGTCAGAGTACTCTGCAGCGAGCCTCTGATATAGAAACACTCGCTGTGTGTGTGTGTGTGTGTCTGTCAGAAAAACATTGCTGCGCATTCTTCAGGTTACAGGTTGTCGTGATTTTATTTTTTTTAAGAACAGAAATGCATACTAAATTCCAAGGGGGTAATTACCTTTACAAAAAGTCCTGCTTTCAAACCAAACACTTTTGTTTTTATGAAGCCAGTCTCAATGAGATTAAACTGAAATCGGCAAATCAGACAAAATCGCTTCCGTCCGACTGACTATTAAAAGGCAGGTGTGTGCTAAAAGAAACAACTGAGGTGATTATGAATCAAAGTAATAAGTCAAAGTAGCGTAGATGAGGAGTCGCATGGAGAAGTTGTAGAAACTTAAATTGATCTGTACATCTAGACGGAGGAGTGCACTACAATGTAATCCAAATATATGCCATCAATTAAATTCCATATTTAAGAATATAGGCGTGCGTAGCAAAAAGTTCAATCATTAAATCATATGTTTGTCATTAAATTTGAATTAGACAATAAATGGAATGAAAAAAGGGAAGCTCCATTTCTTTCTTTTGATCAGTCAGCGTTTGGTATTGAAGAGCACCTCCACCATATTTTACAAGAAAGACATATTTTACATTTGCCATGGATTATAACTAACCCAAACCATACAGAAGGAAACTTAATATGAACTCTGCATCCCCTCCGTTTCCTCTCTTCTGCAGGTGGCTCCAGCTCCGGTGTGCGCTCCTCACATCGCGGTGCGGCTGCCAGTCGCGGTGTAGTGGTGGCCGGGGGGTCGGGCAGTAACAGCCTGCTGGAGATCGACCCGGTCATCCTGATCCAGCTGCTGGACCTGAAGGAGCGCAGCAGCGTCGAGGCTCTGTGGGGCCTCCAGCCCCGACCGCCTGTCTCTCTGCTGCACAGCCAAGGTCTGGAAACACTCGGCTCACAGACCACAACAAATCATTACAGCTAAACTGAAGATCAATGTTCACACACAGGGTGCCTTTCAAAACAAAAGCATGCCTTATTGGACGACCACAGTTCCACAGCAGCATTAGGTTGCCTTTTAAATGGACACATAAACATTGCTTTCTTCACTCTACTCCAAGTCATAGTTTTCTGGTAATTGTCACCGTCTCTTTTTAAGTGGTAGCTACTGTGTGCTATTGTTAGTGTAGTGGGTGTTTCATGCCCTGTTTAGAAGGGACTAATGAGCAGCATGGCATTAAATACAGCTCTCCAAAACCCAAGCTGCTACAAAGACAGATTATTAGAATAAAAACAAGTAGTTTTGAGGACTCATTCCTACAAAATCCGCAATGAATCTATCTGAATAAAACTATATATATATATATATATATATATATATAAACAACACATTTACAAATGTTGGTGGTTAGGATTCAAGTTAACCTCATTTATATAACAGAAAATCACAAATCATACATTTTTGATTTAGATGAGGAAATACTGGCTTTTTATCTGCCAGACTAACTCTGTATATGCGTATGTTTTCGGTGGAATGTGTCAGTGGGGAGTCATTCAGGAAATTAGGATTTACATCTTAATGCAAGATTTCTAACAGCGAGTTATTTTCCTTCAGCTCCTCTAAATGTGTGCACCTGTTTTTTCTCCCTCTTTCAGCTCATTCTCACTCCAGGAAGGATCGAGAGCGGCGTCCTCAGGCGGTGCGGCGCTCGGCTCCAGACTCGGGGGTCCTGATCCGCCTGAAGGCTCAGATGGCCGAGGTCCGCAGCAAAATGTCTGACGTGAAGAGTCAGGTGCTGGAGGCTCGGGGGGCCGCAGAGCCCAGGCCGGGCTCCTCGGGGGGCTTCAGTGTGGAGGAGGGCCCCTCGCAGCACTCTGACTCAGAGCTGACCGCCTGTCGTAAGCCCGGAGAGCCGGACCTGCTTGGGAGGGCCGCGAGGGCCAGGTCGGGACGTCCCGGTGAGGAGCGCTGTCACTCATATTATGTATTTTTGAAGAAATAAGAGATTCAATATTCAAGGCTTTTATTGTCATGTGTGCATAGCTACGCAGGGGGTCCGCGGGGTCTTAAAAAGTATTAAAAGTTGATAAATCAATTTAGCGAAAATGTAAGGCTATTAAAAAGTATTAAACTGCATTTTCCAAGGTATCACATTTTGTAGCTTGTTTTCAATAAGTATATAAATTGTCCAAAGAGGTTGTATTCTACAGTCTGCCTGAATGTAATCATTGCGTAGGTGTGTAGTGTGATTCTGTGTAGTTTATTTATGGCATCCCATTGGATTTGACGTCATCTGAACAGAACGTCGCACGCTCACTGCTTGATAGCGCGCGAAGGTCCGTTTACGCCGGTTGTTAAACAACATCGTTATGGGGAAATGCAAGTTTGCGTCCAAATGGTTGGAAGATAAGGAGGAAGGACAATCAATAGTGTATATAGTCAATGTGAGGTAAAGTGTGTCGCCAATGTAACTGGTTAAAACTCAAAGTGGCGATGAGGTCTTAAAATGTATGGAAAGGGTCTTAAAAGGTCTTACATTTGACTTCAGGATTCCTGCATATACCCTGGCTACAGTGTAGTTATGACAATGAAACTCTTAGGTCACAGGCTCCTCCAACAGCGCAACACAATAACACAGATAATAGTGCAAGTAAATCAAATAGAATATATTAGAAATAGTGCAGAATAGTCTATATACAAGTAATTGGAATATTGATATATATAAGTTACAACCAGATGAATGTTATGGATGTTCTTTCAAAAGTTCAGGTGTTGCTGTTCAGGTCAACTTGTTTTGACTTTCAAGAAACCCTATTAAAATAACAAGCTGAGCAAAAACTATGCCGCTTCTACTTCAAAGTCTTTTTCCTCCAAACAGACATTTGCTTCCAGTTTCTGACATGCATGTCGGTGCAAATCCTCACTCCATGCACTTAACATAATACAACACAGAGGCTATAAAAAATCATGTCCTGATATTTAGTACTTCGTATATCACGATGATTCAAATTTCAAAATAGTTGGCAATCATTTTTCAGGGCTGAGGATACTAGCCAGTGTCTATCATATTATGTATTTTTGAAAAAATAAGAGCTTGTTTTGAGTTTCAAGAAATCCCAGAAAAATAACTAAATGTGCCAAACATTGTTTTACAAGATATAACCTTAAAAGTATTAGTTTGAGTTCCTCCACACAAACAGACATTTACTTCCAGTTGCTCACATAAATGCTCCTAGTACTAGGACGGGTTAAATGCAGAGGTCACTGTGTGCTGTGTGCATGTTTGTGACAATCAAATTGGGTTTCATCCTCCAATTCTAATCTAGGTGCAAATCCTCACTCCATGCACTTAAAATAATACAGAGGCTATAAAAAGCATGTCCTGATATTTTAACAGGAACAAGTACTTACCATAATGATTCAAATGTATAAATAGTTGGCAATCCTTTTTCTGTTGATCGGCTAACCGTTGTGGCTTAAACTGAGATGATTAAATCTTTGTCTCTCTCTTTGTTTGGTATGCAGTCAGGAAGTCCCTGTCTCCTGTCCTGGAGAGCAGCAGCTCTCTGGTGATAAAGAGGAGGAGTCCGGAGGAGATGGAGAAGGAGCTGAGAGGCGCTGACGTCGCCTCAGAGCTCAGCCTGCACCCTAAAGAGGGGCCGGGAGGAGCAGAGGGTCAGTAAACAAGTTCTCTCATTTACTCTAGACTTTAGATTTTAGCCTCATTTTCAGTTGGAAGTGCCAGTTTGACAGCGTATTCAATACTTTACGAGGTGTAATGACTATTGTATCCCATTAAAGGGGACCTATCATGCAAAATGCATTGATGTCTTTTATGCATAAATATGTGTCCCCGGTGTGTCGGGGAACTCACGCAGCGTCAGAAAATAAAACCCTCTCTTTTCCTCCGTACCCAAATCTCTAAAAATGGGGCTACCACGGAGCTGATCCAGATTTGCGTCCGATATGACGTAATATCTGAAATGTGGACCCACGGCACTATCAGAAACGTTGCTATCAGAAACAACGCCCGACTGTTTTGGACGTATTATGGTCGTGTTTACATTAGCATCGCTAACACTCAGAGCTAACCTGTACTGGAGAGCATGTGTGTGAAGAAGCAGGAAATAAAAAGGAACTCACCTTGTGGTATAACCGGCAAGAGAGAAAGCCTTTGAGCTCCATACTGTTTCAGAAATAATCCTTGATAGTCCATGATATGGCGTTTCATCACGGCAGTATTTAGTTTAGACAGTAGCTGCCGGGTCCCGCATGAGCTCAGCCCCCTCCTTTTTTTTTAATCAATTTTTTAATTTTGCAAAGCTTTTTACCCCAAATCAGCACTTTTGAAACAGGAAGTGAAATAGAGGGATATGAGGCATGGCTAGAATGGGTGATCTGTTTGGTATTTTGAGCAAAACACTTCATAGACATGTTTTTTATATATTGTTATATATCTGAGACCTATGCTATTTCCTAAAAATAGCATGATAGGTGACCTTTAAGGCCTGTGTCCACATATTGATGTTTTCTTAATACCATCATCTTTTTTTCAATTGATAGCCCTTCCAAGCTCTTCAAATTGAACATATTAAGTTTTCAGAAGTGCTGGTGACATCAAAAACAGGAGAAGCTTGTTTTTGGACTATATAAATATATAGGAGCACAAATAGATCATAAAAAGCTATGGCGCTCTGCTAGTCTATCTTACAGCAGTTAGCATGGTGATGTGTTGTCAAAATATTGTTGTAATAGAAACATTTTTGGAGGAACTTCTTGGATGCGGCTCTCACCGTCCCTCTGCCAGTGCCTTACTGCAAACCCACTCTCTGGCCTCATGCTGCTTGGAGATCTACAGTTTTTTTACTCCTGCTGGACTTAACAGATCACATTTGATCGTCTCAGCGTTTCATGAGTCAACACCGTCTCCCACGCAGACGCAGACCCTTCCATGTTTTCAGTCTGAACACCCACTTCCACTAGTTCATGGATGGACCTGAAGAGCCTAACAAGATGTGTGTTTCCTCATCGTGTCTTTCCTGTCTCTCCTGTCTCTCCTGTTTCTCCTGTCCCTCCCGTCTCTCCCGTCTCTCCCGTCTCTCCTGTCTCTCATGTCTCTCCTGTCTCTCCTGTCTCTCCTGTCTCTCCTGTCTCTCCTGTCTCTCCTGTCTCTCCCGTTTCTCGTGTCTCTCCTGTTTCTCCCGTTTCTCCTGTCCCTCCCGTCTCTCCCGTCTCTCCTGTCTCTCATGTCTCTCCTGTCTCTCCTGTCTCTCCTGTCTCTCCTGTCTCTCCCGTCTCTCCCGTCTCTCCCGTTTCTCCCGTTTCTCCTGTCCCTCCTGTCTCTCCTGTCTCTCCTGTCTCTCCCGTTTCTCGTGTCTCTCCTGTTTCTCCCGTTTCTCCTGTCCCTCCCGTCTCTCCCGTCTCTCCCGTTTCTCCTGTCTCTCCCGTCTCTCCCGTCTCTCCCGTCTCTCCCGTCTCTCCCGTCTCTCCCGTTTCTCCCGTCTCTCCCGTCTCTCCCGTTTCTCCCGTCTCTCCCGTTTCTCCTGTCCCTCCCGTTTCTCCCGTCTCTCCCGTTTCTCCCGTCTCTCGTGTCTCTCCTGTTTCTCCTGTTTCTCCCGTCTCTCCCGTCTCTCCCGGCTCTCCCGTTTCTCCCGTCTCTCCCGTCTCTCCCGTCTCTCCCGTTTCTCCCGTCTCTCCCGTTTCTCCCGTCTCTCCCGTCTCTCCCGTCTCTCCCGTTTCTCCCGTCTCTCCTGTTTCTCCCGTCTCTCGTGTCTCTCCCGTCTCTCGTGTTTCTCCTGTCTCTCCCGTCTCTCCCGTTTCTCCCGTTTCTCCCGTCTCTCCCGTTTCTCCTGTCTCTCCTGTCTCCCTTGTTTCTCCTGTCTCTCCTGTCTCTCATGTCTCTCCTGTCTCTTCCTCCAGGAGTGCTGATGGCTGAGGGCTCCCAGGGGCCCCTCGTGTCCCTCTGCTCCTGCTCAGAGCAGCAGTACTCAGTGGTGGAGCAGCTGTACGGGGCCTCGGGGGCCAGGGACGAGATCTTCTCCTTGGGAGGGCCCGGCTACATGACCACCAGCAAGACCTCCGGCAGCAGGACCCTCGGGTGGGTCTCAGGGCTCATAATACTCAGGATTACTGCTCTCTCTTTCTCTGCCTCTCACAAACAATCCTGTACTTCTCTCCACCTGCAGGGCAGCCATGTTGGATTGTGAATCTGAAAGCTCAGGAATCTCCCACCACTCCCTGCTGGAGGGACCCTCTGCACAGCCTCAGTCAAATGAAGGTCTGTTTACCCCCCAAGCTGCCAACAGGAGATTTTTACTTTCTCTTTTAGCATGTGCAGCAATGACCAGTTTATACAACATTTGTAAAATGCTTAACTTTAACCATTGCATTTTCAAGATTAGGATCATGCTTCAGTTTGAATATAGAATAGAATCGGGTATCTTTTACACATACATGCACACACCTCTGCATTTAAGCCATCTTAAGCCCCAGCCACACGAGGACGATAACGGTCGTATCCGCTACAGTTCACTATCAGATAGACGGTTCGGCCACACGAGGCCGACATGGAAACGCAGAAAACGATAACGGGTCCCAAGGTGGGTAGATCTGCAAACGAAACGCTCTGGGGGGGGCAAACGGCTCCGTGTTTACGCCTATACGATAATTTCCTGATAACGATGAAGCAATAGCCCCGCCTCTCCCCACCTCTCCTGCTCAGAGATCAGCTGCTGGGCTGTCGGAAGAGGGGGAGGAAAAGAGAGGCTCCGTTTTGTATTCTTATATTATTATATAGAGTCGTTATCAATTTGTTTTAAAGCTCAATAAATAACAAAGAAGACCTTTGACCGGCACTTTTCTAATTTTGTCCGGAAGATTTAAACTTTAACGGACATGTTGACCGGCGAAAAAAAATCTAACTGAAACTCTGCCGCACGGTCCCCTCGTTCCTTGGAAGAGGCGGAGAGGTGGGTGTTTGTCATCTGCTGGTGGACTAACCGGAGAGAATTACAGTGCTTGCCTCGACGGGGAGGGATTGCATTGAATTAAAGCAGCGGGAGCAAACGCTTGCCTCGGGGAGGGAGAAAAAGAGCCACAGCGGAGAATAAACAGAAGGGCAACCATGCGCGGGAAGTCTTCTTCGCTGCTTTTGTGGCAGACTACAGCGCCACTTACAGGCCCGGCATATGTACTACAGCGTCTCCAGCGCTTTTGAGCGGTCTTGTGTGAACGGACACGTTTCTGGTGCCTGTTGCGTGTGGACGGAAGACTTTTTTTTGATAACGATTGCGGTCCGTTTGCGTTATCGTCCTCGTGTGGCCGGGGCTTTAGTACTAGGGGCAGTGGGCAGCTATTGTTCAGCGCTCAATATACATCTTGAAAAACATTTGATTATCAACCTAATTGTTTTCATTACTGGTGTTTCATCTTTACAATGTCTTAAGACAGGCTGGAGTTAGTCAGGCATTGAATAATCTATAAGAATAACCTTGATTTATCAGTGGAGATAAATTCAAAAATAAATTGTTGTTTGGGGAAAGAGGGAGAATTAGCAAGTCAACTGAGGGTGGTGGAGTGTTAAACCTAATATGTATTTATAGCTATTAACATTTATTCTAAAACTTAAATTGTAATATATAAAATAACTGCTCTGTTGATCTCCTGCAGATAAGTCTCCGTGTGTCCTGGTGGCCGCAGCGAGCACCGACAGCGACTCTGAAGACGAGGCTCTGCAGAGCAACAACTCTCGCTACGACAACCATACCCCTCCCTGCACAGGTAACACACACACACACACACACACACACACACACACAGCCATATTACACTGTGCACGTTTGGATTAATCCAGTGCCAGGAATTTATTTGGTATCCCTAGAGGCAACGGCGACCTTTCTTCATGCAGACAAACTGATGATTTTTCAATTATTAATAAAAAGATTGATTGTAGCCTCCTTGACCCAAAAATACAACGCCATCACTTGTTTGGTATTAAATGAAACGGGTTAACACATTCAGAAGCACGCAGGACAGGTGTTAACATCAATGTATTGTTTCTTCCTCCTCCTTCCTCAGGGGAGCAGCTTCTGTGTGAGGACATGAGTCTTCCTGCTGACAGGTGATTCCCTCTGAAGCGTCTTCACCCTCACTGCCGGAGATCACACACTCTCTTCTGTCACACACATCTGTAGAAGTAGGAACTGCTTGTTGTGCATGATTGGAAAATGATTGCAACGATTCAGCTGCTTGGTATCCTAAATAAGATAGAAATAATGGCGGCCTGTGGTTGAGGTGGTGCTAACAGTCCAGGTGACCACATAATAGCCATGTTTTAAAGGGATGGTTTGGATGTTTTGAAGGGGGGCTACTCGCATCCAGTGTATTACTACAGTGTGTTCTGGTTTGTGCATCCCCATGTTTGGAATATCAGACAGGAGTATGTGCACGGAGGTAAAGCACTGCTGTGCACAGGAGGCTGCAGCAAAATGTACTTTTACTGATTAAATTCTATGCTTTATTAAGAACATTTCCATAGCTCAACATTGCTGACAGATCCCCTTCCTGACCCCAAAGGGTTATGTATGATCTTTTCAAAGCCACCAGACTCATCGACAAATACTGTGATTTTTAACTCCCAGAAGATCGAGCTAGTGATCTACTTCTGCCTCGTTTGTGTTTTTTGTTGTGAGTTTGGTTTTATAATGGGTTAATTCAGATTCACTGAAATCACACACAAATAAATATATGATGGTAGATCACCAACCTCCGCTTTCTGAAAGGTGACATTACTGTTTTTCTTCAATGCAGTCTGGTGGCTTTAAAGAGAGCATGCCATAAGTCCTCTGTGTTTCTTCAAACTGGGGAGAAGCCATTCACCGTCTATTCTTCAAAACATCCAAACTATCCTTTTAATAGTGTGTGAATACTAACTAACATTTCATATCTTTTGAAATTGAACTTTCACCGTATGTCTAAAGTCTTACATCTATTTCTTAACCTCTCCTTGCATTACTTTGTATCAATAGATATACCTACTTCCATTTCTTCATGGCCAGTTCAGTAAATACTTTGCAGGAAACATTTGTTTGAGCAACAACGTTTTATTTAGCAGAGATGAACACCTACAGGGCATTTAGTCACTTTAATTCACTTAAAGCAGCCCACCTCAGTGCATAACGGCGTTTGTAATTCAGGTCTACAGTATATTTGCAATATTCAGAGGAGAGAGTATCATCTGTAGCCTGTCAATAAGAGCTTAGTGTTTCATAACGGTTTGCTGTTTAAGTTCAGCCTGTCTGCACATCCGCTCCCTTCCTCCACCATCGTGTCTCTGCACTTCCCAGCATCGCTGCCAGAAACACTTTAATCACTGCTCAAATATTCACTTCACTGCAGCCCCCCCCCCCGAGGTACACTTTGTTTGGAGCTCTTTTCTGGTAATTTATGTAAATGTGTTCTGCGTTAATAACAGCAGTCTGTCTTATGTGACATTTGAAAAGGTTAAATGATCACTGAATCACAGAGATTATGAAACTACAGATGTCTGCGGGCTGCAAACTGTTCAACATGCAGCACATCTGAGTTAGTAACAACGTGCCAGCAGGTGTTTGAGCTTCTGCTCGGACTTCACTGACCTGCAACCTGAGCTACGCTTAATACACTGAAAATTCAGACATTTTTGTATTCATTTAAAGGAACGTATGACTTAAGTTTTGGAGAATGCTTGTTCCCTTCATGCTGAGAGTAGGACAAATAGATCAATACCGCTCTTTATGTTTGTACAGTACATAAATAAGCTGTCTCTGGTTAGCTTAGCTTAGCCTTAAGACTCTCTTTGAGATGCTCTGGAGTTTAGTCGCTGACGTCACAGCAGCTTTATTGCTGTCATAGCAGGAAAAGCACAGATGTGACATTTAACATTAACAAGAGCTGTGTTTTATTAAAGTGTCCCAACGAGCCAACATGAACAAAACCAGGACCCTTAAACATGAAGCAGCTATTATTCACTGGTGCTTTCCTTACTTCCTCATGTCCACATGTCTCCTGTGGAAAAGACTGCAAAAGTATTCTGATGAAAGGGTTGATTCGCCCAAGATGTCTGCCTCCGCACGAAATGTTTGACCCTTTATTGACCCAAATAATAGCAAATTACTTTATTGGTTGACATTTTCATACATCTCGTTATTATAGAAAAGTAAGACCGTGTTTACATTGGGGAAACTGGATTTCTTTTTAACTGCATATTTGCTTTAAGAAATGATTGGTTTTTCAAGATTGTTACAGCTTTACTGAATAGTCATCGCATCTGTTTGTGAAGATCTGAAAAGTTACATTAAAACAATTCCTAGGCAGCTTCATCTCTCCAGATGAATGTCCCTGTTACTGTGTTTCTCCCAATGAAAACTGGACAATGTTCTCTGGGTTATTCGGAGTATCAGCGACATTTCCTCCAGAAAAAGATGTTTCTGATTTCAAAAGTTGTTCTTCGTCCTGTCGGCACCACAAATGAAATTCATTTCCGCTTCATTGTGTGGGTGAAGAAGCAGAGATTCAGAGTGAAAACACTTTCATTTTAAGAGCAGTTGACTACAAAGGTTATACAAATCAGTGTAATTATGTAACGTGTGCTCGGCGCTGCACTGATGGCTCGCTGCTTCACTGGCTTCTCCTCATGGATTTATTATTTTTCACCTCAATACTCCCAACAAACACACGTCAAAGGCGGCTGCTGCTGCACGGGAGAAAACACACACACACACACACACACACACAGAGACACATCTTAATTTGAAGGTCTATTCATCTTTGGTTCAAAAGTAATGACATTAATAGTCATTAGTTTGCTTTGTAAATATCTTACAGTACATGCAGATGCAAAGCTTGCTGTACTTGTGCCTGAACGCGCATGGCTTTTTCTGCAGGGTTAAAGGAGGAGGAAGTTTGTGTCGAGTCGAACTGAAATCATTCCCCAGAGAGAATAAGTGTTAATATCTTCATCTCCTCTCCTCTTCATCATGTCCTTTTTTTTTACTGTTTCTTTACATGATGGAGGCGCTCACTGTTTATTAACAATTTCCCATTCCTGTGTCAAAAGCTGCTTTCTTTTGTTTGGATGTTCCCAGAATGCATTGTGCATTATTTAATGTGTACATTTCCTTATGGTGTAGTAAATAAATAAAATGTTTTACGAACCCCGGAAATGACCAAACTTTCATTTTGTGTGTGTGTATTTTTATTTTCAACATTTAATTTAAGTAGATTTACTGAGTACTTAATTATTGAGGTATTTGTATTTTACTTGAGAATTTCCAAAATCTTTATTTGCTTCATTTTCCAGACTCTGTTCTTCTACTCTACTCCATTTATTTTGAATTATTAGATCATGCATTGAATTATAATAGGTTAAACTACCCAGCGACATATATACTTATTAAAATCATACCTTTACTGGCCTTACGTTGAAGCGTTCACACATTAATGCATCATTATAAAAGATATGAGATTCTGAAATATGCCATCCTACATACTCTGCTTTTATTTTTGGTAGGTTTAAGGATATATATTTTTAATTTGTTTCGTTAAATACTTGTTAAGTCCTTATCGCGGACCCGCACATGACCAATGAGGGCACGAGATAAGTTTGTGCACAGATGGAAGGCTGACAGGCAGGTAGGCCATCCAGTTATTTTAGCGCGGCTCAGATGATTGGTCGTGCTTTTTACAGTACTACGGCTTCCACAGATGACATTTTTTTATGTATTTATTGTCAAAGCATTTAATGTATTCATTGCTATCGGGATGTTAAGAGCATTCCATGGAATATAACAAAGTGTTTCTGAAATAAATGACATACCCCACCTTTGAGTTAAAGTACAATATGTTCTTCTGAGAAATCTTGGAGAAGAATAATTTGCATGAAAGTGCATCACAACTGTTTAAGAAAGAAAAGGCATCAGTCGAAGACTTGTTCTAATCTTTATATACATGATATTTAGTCACCAGTTACAGTACACATAATTTAAATACTACAGGAACACATAATACAGGTACTCAACGTGTGTTTACATTTTTTTGTTTTTGTTTTTAACCTAACCTGCTTGTTGAAGAAGAGCCAATCATGGAGCTTGTCTTCAAACTGAGAGGACTAATCACAGCCCTCCATGATCTTATACACCCTCCCCTTTATTAACCACATTAGCATACATTTAAACAGAGTGCAAAGAAGTCTAAGCATTTTTTTTTTAAATGTACATTGTTGAAAATTACTCAAACATCCTGCCATCTTCTTCACATTCGTTTTTCCCACAGACATGTACGTTTTAAAATGTTTTAGCTCCAAATGACCCGGCCCTCTCTCAGGAAGTGTACAGTGACCATACTGCTGTTCTCTATGGAGGGAAAGATGAATGAGAAAAGGACTTCAGGAGCTTCAGGGATTCTGCTCGGTGACCTTTCCTTTCTTCAGCAGAAGACAAGCCCTCAGAGAGTCTTTTAATGCAACATCATTATTGCTTACAGAGAAAAGAAAAAGCTTTTTTTGCGTGTTCACAGACACACAGTACAGATTCATGGAGGGGCACTCTATAGTTGAGACAGTGATTATAGGAGAGCAGAGCTGAACTTCTGCTGGCTTTCATCATCGACGATTACAGACACTCTGAGAGGAAAGAGATTGTCTTCCTCTCTGATTTGAACCAAAAGGTGTCTCACCTGGTTTTATTACAGGTGGTAATACAAGTTTTTGCAAGGATTATTACTCAATTTCCCCCTCCTTGTGGTTGCAATCAACACATCCTTCATGTTGACGTTTAAGTCAATAGAAAACTATTTAAATCAGACTTGTAACACCAGATTCGTTTTTTTTCTCACTTGCCTCTCAGGGCCTCTGTAGGGAGGGAAACATCCGACTCAGAGGAACGTTTTAGTGCAAGCAAAGCGTGAGTGAGGGAGGAAGTGTGGGTTTCTCGAGCTTAGGTAGAGGAGTGATGTTTTTATTGCTCATACAGTGACAACTTCTGGCAGTTTGCGATATATTTTGAGTAACACTGTATAACTGATTTTGGTGAAGGTTTTGTGAATGAAACCCTTGAAATCCCGTCTGTGTTACGCTCCAGATCTCAGAGTTTGAACACTGAACATCTGCTGTGAAACTACTGCAGCGAATCACAGGAATCGAGAACTACTGCAGCTGCTCTGAGGTCGGACAATAGTGCTTCAATTATTCCCCACCATTTACAAAAAAACACATCTGTGATCTTAAAAAAAGTAATTTGTTGTTAGATCTTGTTATAATGACAAAACACCAAGTATCTTGCAAAATATCTTACTGTAAAAAGAAAACCTATTGTGTTGTAATTATAGAAATCATACAGAGCACCCAAAGCCCAAAAGATAATGGCTAAGCCGATCGGTCGGCCATCTTGGTACAGACTTATGTTTAAAAAACTATATTTTTCGTGTCCCCCAGAGAATGAATCCTGCGACGTCTGTGCTCACCTGTATTTTTCTCTAGCGCACTACAGTATAAGGATAACATTTTTGTTCTAGGTCAAATTTGTGAACTACAATTGGATCGAATTTGAATGTGTCATCTAGTGCCACCAGCAGGTCAAATTAACACTTGTCCAATACTTGGTTTTTGACCAAATACCAGCAAGTCTAATGACATTTCAGTTAGCATGCTAACGTGCTAAGCTTCTGTGCGTTGGCTAACGCATAACTTGTGGTGATGTTTCAGGACTTTAAGGTCTTAATAGCTTTTTTATCGGGTTTTTTCTGCAGCAATGGTGATGCGATGGTTTTCACCAAACCAGAATGACGTTTCTTTTGCAATATTGTTAATTTAGCTATTTTTGTGGGTATTACAGGAATAATAGAGTGTAAGTGAATGTTTTTAAGACTCCCCGAGAAAACGTTGTCATTCTAACAAGATCCATAGAGCAAAAAATGTCCCTGTTGCAGCTTTAGAGTTTTCTGCCCTGTGTGATCCATGTAAAATATCTAATGTTATCTAAAAGACTTGCAACACAGTGGTTATAACGTGAAACTCCATTTGACCTCAATCACCACCACAGCTCAAGTGTTACTCATCTCTAATCGACGCCAAGCTAATCAACTAACACCTGCTGAGCTGGGAAATAAAAAATCTAAAAAGTACTGATATAGTTTGATTGGCAAGATGCCTTTTAAAGGCTGTTACTGATAAAAACATGTTCAAATCCAAGCTGCAGATTGGAGAAACAGTATTTTAAGCCGATAATAACATCTTAAAGAACGTTCTCCCCAGTTTTTTATTTCCTGTCAGGGTAAGAAAGCAGGGTGTAACTGCAGCTAGGCCACAATAGTTCAACTAAAACTCTTCCAGTGAAAGTCAAACTGTTTTAAAACCTTTTGATATAGTTCAGTAGTTTTTGAAGGCAGCGGCAGTGTTTATAGACAGATGCCCCTCGATAACATCACACCTTCGTCTCCACCTCGGTGAAGCGAGGCTTGGGATCCAGATCCTTGTGGAGCATGGATTAAAACCACTGATTTACAAGACAGAATTATAATATGTACACTTCTTAAGAAACTTACAATAAGTACTCGTAATATATTATATATGACTGTGATATCCTTATTTTCCCCAGATCTTCTTTGTGTATCAACTAGCCTTTTGACAAACTGCAGTGATATTTCCCTAAAAGGGATCCAGTGGCTTTAGTTTGTGTAGAGTCCCGGCAGTACATTCCTCATATCTAAGATGCGAATCTTCGCCAATCGAAAAAAAAGACACCTCCTCAATTCGACACCAAGTCCTTGAGGTACATTCTGCTCCACTGATGCTCAGTCAATCCCCAGGATGGTTTACCAGTAAGACTGACCCTCGAACCAATACCTGGTGAATCACATTTTCGGATACCACCTTATGTGTGTGACTGTGCCAGGAAAGAGGATGCACAATTTACAGCACCTGGTCGTCACTCACGTCCTGGCGTTTGGAAATTCAACCAAAGAATGTGGGAATGACGATGTTAAGGAATGTTAGGGAATAATAAATGTGTCCAAAATGGCCGTTTGGTAAACCCCACTCGCAACGGGGCACGACACGCTGTCTAACTAAGGATTCTTCCAAATACTTGGTATAAAATTAGTTGCGAGTGTCTTTTTTTTGCCTTCCCCAGCCCCAAAAAACAAAAGACAAACAGCAAACGTTACCATCTCAGATTAAATAGTTTAGTGAACAGTCACTTGCTCCAAATAAACTTATAAGGAGGACACCAAAGCATTCTTTTTGGGTTTAGCTATGATTTCATAGTTTCAGACCAAGTTTGCAGTGCAGTTAGTTCATAATCATTAAGTATGATGACACAGTAATGCTATTGTGTGACGCAGATCAGTCTGTGTGCTAATATCATTTTACCCTGTTAATCAGTATTATTTGATGATTACATTTAGTTAATTATTACTATGCGTTAATATTGAGTAGGAGCACTAGCATATTTGCTGTTAGATACACAGTATGTACCAATGAATGTTGATGGGGAAACTGGCTTTCATGCTAGCCAGGTGTTATGAAACGTGTCATAAAGACTTGAGTTGGAAAATTGCTTAAATATCTGCCCCACTGTCAGCAGGGAAGAGGGGCTCTCCATTGTTGAATCTACATCAAACCAGAGAGAGATCCAGTTATAAATGTGCTGCAGGAGTCGGCCTAAATTGGTGAGGACCTCAACTTTATTTACTGATAAATAAACTCTGCTCTCTGAAGTGGATTATCTATTTCCTAAAATGACTACGATAAGATTTGAGCTAACAACGTCCTTGTAGCATAACAGTTTAGATGTTTTTGGTTTAATCCAATGTTTGTTATATTACTACAAAGCGTGCAAGTATTTTGACTGTTAAACAGCTCCTAAATATACATATATCCTACTAAAAGACAGAGGCTAAAGCTAAAGCTAGCTGTTCCCCCTTCCAGTCTTTATGCTAGGCTAAGCTAATTAGCTGCTAGCTGTAGCTTCGCTTTTAGCATAGGCTACAGCCATAACATAACTCTTGGGAAGAACGGTAAGTATTATATTACCCAACACTATTAAACTATTCCTTAAAAGGGGCACAGGGTCATGAAGGCCAAACTTGTACTTAACAGAAGCACATTAATAATAATAACTTAAATATATGTGTACAGGAAGCAGACTTTTGTTACACATTTGAAAGGCACGTGTTCTGCAG